GTACTCTTGTCCTGAAGGGGGCTGCTTTATAACAGAAATCTATTATCACTAACGTTATAGGAGACTGCTTATAACTTTCCCCTTTCTAAAGTACTCTTGTCCTGAAGAGGGCTACTTTATAACATAAATCTAACATTCACTAACGTTATAGGAGACTGCTTAGAACTTTCCCCTTGCTAAAGTACTCTTGTCCTGAAGGGGGCTACTTTATTACAGAAATCGAACATTCACTAACGTTATAGGAGACTGCTTAGAACTTTCCCTTTACTAAAGTACTCTTGTCCTGAAGGGGGCTACTTTATAACAGAAATCTATTATCACTAACGTTATAGGAGACTGCTTAGAACTTTCCCCTTTCTAAAGTACTCTTGTCCTGAAGAGGGCTGCTTTATTACAGAAATCTAACATTCACTAACGTAATAGGAGACTGCTTAGAACTTTCCCCTTTCTAAAGTTCTCTTGTCCTGAAGAGGGCTACTTTATAACAGAAATCTAACATTCACTAACGTTATAGGAGACTGCTTAGAACTTTCCCTTTACTAAAGTACTTTTGTCCTGAAGGGAGCCACTTTATAACAGAAATCTAACATTCACTAACGTTATAGGAGACTGCTTAGAACTTTCCTTTTACTAAAGTACTCTTGTCCTGAAGGGGCTACTTTATAACAGAAATCTAACATTCACTAACGTTATAGGAGTCTGCTTAGAACTTTCCCTTTACTAAAGTACTCTTGTCCTGAAGGGGGCTACTTTATTACAGAAATCGAACATCCACTCACGTTATAAGAGACTACCGTAGTATATTCATGATATGGTACATTATGGTAGACTAAGTACACAGCTACACGATTACCTAATGCCTGACAGGTAGCCACTATACATCAACCAGACCTCCATGTCACGTGACTGCGACTGTGGTTTTTTCATTGAGTGTTTATATAGTGATACTTGTTCCCGCGCTGACTAGTTCGGCTGCTAATGCTGAGGCGCGTGCCGCTGTGATACTCAAGTGCTGATGCAGATTTTGTCTATTTGGACTGCTGCGTTAGAAGACATAAAGATTGTTCACAGGTAGCCGATGGGCCGTTTTGAACGATTTAATCGGGATAGGATATCAACAGGTCGGAACTGGGACTCTATAAATTATATCAAATTTCCTTTAACATCTTATAGTGGTACATTGTAAGATATTGTTAGATTTTGCAGTGTTGTGCTGCGGATAATGGCTTGCCAATGCGTGTCTACATAGCATATTACATACGGACGGAGATAACCTTCTGATAAGGCTAGACTTTGTCCAGGCCAAGAGAGCCTGTAATACACCTTAATATAAATAAGATATAAAATGGTTATTCACTTGGCAATGCAAGTCATATGCGTTGTAAATATTGAAATGTACATGTTATCTGAATGGAAGAATAATTTTCAAATTAATGATGCGTAGCAATACTGAAAGTAAAAAGCGAACAACAAAATGTAAATCGTTAAGAATACAATTTTGTATGTATTTCAAATATAAACTTTTAACAGTAGCTACTCGTAGAGGTGAATGCTAACAGAAAGTCTTGTGGATGGTTCTACCATGTTTAGTAGATTGTTAAGTTTCATTTAATGACGTTTTTAGGTTTCTTCTTCAGCCAGTAATTCAATTGTGGCTAAAAGTATAAGCTTACATCACAAAAAAACTTGAATTGTTTTGCTTGTCTGTTCACAAAAATAAGTTAGATAGCATTTTTTTGTGCATTCTATTTTGGTTAAGACACACTGGTGTCACTACGTGCATTGCCCATTCTAATATAGAGTTGTAATATAGGGTCTGTGAGGTATCGCTACACTGCTTTAACTTTGTATCATTGGGATGTCGCTACGCCCTCTTTTATTATATGAAGCTTTACATACCAAATTTCCAACAGTTATGGTCGTTTGTTTTTATTGCCATTGTCAGTGTAAGTGAAATGGTATAAATTAGGGTAACTTTTTGTCTTCAATTTACAATCTCTTCGTAAATGTTTATGGTATCTTGTTCGTGTTCAATATCACTTTAGGCAGTGATACTTTGATTAAAGCATTCAATTCTGTAATGATACTATGGTTAACTGTATGGCTATATTGACGGTAACAAATTCAATTTTGTAATGGTATTATGGTTAACCGTATGGCTATATTGACGGTAACACATTCAATTTTGTAATGGTATTATGGTTAACTGTATGGCTATATTGACGGTAACACATTCAATTTTGTAATGGTATTATGGATAACTGTATGGCTATATTGACGGTAACACATTCAATTCTACAATGTTATGATATTATGGTTGACTGTTTGGTTATATTGACGGTAACACATTCAATTCTACAATGTTATGATATCAAGGTTGACTGTTTGACTATATTGACGGTAACACATTCAATTCTACAATGTTATGATATTAAGGTTGACTGTTCGGCTATATTGACGGTAACACATTCAACTCTACAATGTTATGATATTATGGTTAACTGTTTGGCTATATTGACGGTAACCCATTCAATTCTACAATGTTATGCTATTAAGGTTTACTGTTTGGCTATATTGACGGTAACACATTCAACTCTACAATGTTATGATATTATGGTTAACTGTTTGGCTATATTGACGGTAACACATTCAATTCTGTAATGATATTATATTATGGTTGATTGTATGGTTATATTTACGGTAACACATTCAATCATGTTATGCTATCATTGTTAAACTGTATGGCTATATTGACGGTAACACATTCAATTCTGTAATGATATTATGGTTGACTGTATCGCTTTATTGACGATGAGATTCAATTCTGTAATGATATTAAGGTTAACTGTATGGCTATATTGACATGGACATTCAATTATGTAATGTATAATGGTTAACTGTATAGCTTTATTGACGGTATCAATTCCATTTCTTTAACGAAATTGTGGCTAATTGTATGGTTATATTGACGCTGATATTTTCAAATCTGTAATGATATTATGATACATGTGTAGTCGTTGTAGTAACTTTATAGTTATAATGATGGTGATCTGGAAATTGTCTGATGGTATTTATCAAAAATGGACTTTTGGTTAGGTAAATATGGTTTATGTGGACCGCAGAAAGTGATATTAACCCAAACGAACGATCTAGATGTTTTTCTTTTTCATGTTAGATGCTGGTTAATGTTTTAATTATTAAACAAGAAGGAACGCATGAAAAAATGGTCATTGGGACGTTACAATTGAAACAAAGTCATAAAGGGAATATTGACTTGATGTTGAGTCAACATCACAGATCATCGACCTTCACCTCCAAGTCAACATCTCAGATCATCGACCTTCATCTCCGAGTCAACATCACAGATCATCGATCTCCACCTCCGAGTCAACATCACAGATCATAGATCTCAACCTCCAAGTCAACATCACAGATCATCGACCTCCACCTCCGAGTCAACATCACAGATCATCGACCTCCAACTCCGAGTCAACATCACAGATCATCGATCTCCACCTCCGAGTCAACATCACAGATCATCGATCTCCACCTCCGAGTCAATATCATAGATCATCGACATCCACCTCCGAGTCAACATCACAGATCATCGACCTCCACCTCCGAGTCAACATCACAGATCATCGACCTCCACCTCCGAGTCAACATCACAGATCATCGACCTCCACCTACTTTTCATGTGTTTTAAAGCGTCTTTGAATACTTTTGCAAATAATATCATGACAATTATAAGTCTTATCCTCGCAATCACTGGAGTTACGCTCACCTGCATGTAAGTTCTCTGCATCCCTGGAGTATATCGTAGTACAATCGCAGGCACGCAGGTAGCTATTTTACAGGCTCCATGTAAAAACAACCTGTCCAATCGCTTGTTTAACACATGCTATATTCCTTTGAAGATTGGAGATGAGCAACACCTGACTTCAAAGTCGTACAATTTTACCGTTACGCTGCCACGCGATTCTTTTGATGTACCACAGCGGATTAAACTAGTCTACTTGTATAACCCATAAGGTGTCGTGTACAGAGTCTTCGATTTTGTCATGACATAGGGATGTATAGAACGTAAGTGAGCGTCATTTCTGGAATTTCGAGGATTGATACTCATCGATATTGATGTATATTGCAGTTGAACATATCTATTGACAATATTGTTTTCTGAATAAATAAAAGCACCTTTCTGAATGTCATACTGGTAATTACCTTTTTTTTGCAAATATTGTCACATAAGAAGCAGAAATATGTTTTGAACTCCTCAAATTGTCTCATGCTAGGGCAAAAAATCGACCCTTTACAATAGATGTGTTGAACCCATACATATATGAAATCAAATCTTACCGAAAAATCGATAGGATTTTTCGTTCATTCTGTCATGTAAAACATCTAATCAACTACAAAATCGAAGCACTATACATATATCACCTTGGGTTCTTATAGGTGCAACGCCTGGTAATGTTCCTCCGATGCAGATAGTATTACATGTGACCGATAATTGTTTTCCAAAAGTGCAATTTTTCCTTTGTTAGTAGGGAATATATATATAAACTAGCCCTGTCTAGTTTGTTAACAAACTCGTACTTGTTGTATAGGCAACAGACTATATATTGAGTTATCAAGTTATGTATTTTAACTTACGGAATTTGCTTCGACACAGTGAGTTTAACTTTAAAAATACACTTACTAATTGGAAACAATTTCTTTTCTTCTACTACATATGCAAACATAAATTGCGATGATTGTGCAAGTCACGTGACCCTGGACAATAAACAGTGACGTGCTATGCATATTTTCTACACCACGCTGTTTCACACGTGGGATTGCTTTTTTTCCCCTTCAATTTCATTCGGTCATAAAAGAACTCATTCTAAATCTTAAAATACTCAAACAGGTGCCCCCTGATGCACTTGCACTTGCATTTTCCACAGTATAATCATCATGCAAATCTGTCAATCAAACATATTAGCATATATGTTCGTATTCAATCGCTTCATTTCCAATGTATTGAACAAATCAGTGATATTTATACGGATCAACGAAACTGTCTGGTCACTGAAGTAATTCAAGTAACGAGGGGGATGTAAAAGTTCATCATCGTCCGATTGAGAGTGGTTTGACAATGTTACTTGGGTGTTTTGGGTTTCTTCTCAATATGGCGTTGTGTATTCCATTCACTTTTGCATGGGAACAGGAATATGATTGTGGAAAGACTGGCAATGTACCAGGCAAGGAGATATGTAAGTTTGGAGATACTTTGTTATATCTATTACAAAACATCATCATTAATTTTTAGTCAATTTACTTAGGGATATATCGTATTCTAGCTACCATTGATTCATATATGATGCTCTGATAAATCTATATTTAGATCGGTATTTGGAACAAAGTAAAACGTTGTTGCATTGGATCTGTAAATAAGTTTCAAACAAAAGTAAATATTCGTTATCCTTGAACAGTTCTGTGCACATCATGTAGATCTTCCACTGTAAATTAGGATAGTGGATATTTCTTTCAATTCATTTCGTACATCATTTGTATTCAAAATACTTCAACAAAGGTATAATTTAGAAATGCATACAATGACAACTGAAATTATCAGATATGTTTGGAAGCAGTCATATCGTATAACACGAATTTGAATTCTGATAAAAAAATATCTGTAAATATTCGAAAAAAATCTTTCTACACGCTTTCTTTCTTGCACATATACTTATTATACTGTTGCTTCTATCGTTAGAATATTTATTAAAAAATAACAACAACAACAACACTTTCCATTTTAATTGTTCCTTAGATTTCTGCAGTTGCATTTCAATCGTTGTGGAATTATTTTTCCTTTATCGTTAAATATGTAAAAAAAAAAAAAAATGGATTTGGTTTCCTGATAACACGTACAATGTAGACTATGATGAAGTAAATAGCGATGATGTCATTGAAGAGGAGCACCATTTATGACAAGGTTATTACATAATCCACATTTGTATTCACTGAATCAGACACCACATGGTAGATTATTCATCATTTCTGTAACGTTAACTACCGACTTTAAACCATTGATTTTTTATCTATCTTTTATAAATATATATATAATGTAAAAAAAGAAAACATCTTAACAACCCGTCTTTGGCGCTTTCATCTCATCAAGGAGGTTCTTCAGACTGTTTATTTGAAGCAGATATTATGACGTCATAAATACACACATATGTATATGTATTACTATCATAAAAAAAAAGTCTGTTTTCCCCTATATTTTTAATATGGCGACAAAATTAGTGCGTTTTTGTTTAATTTTATTTATTTCCATTTTTTTTATCGGAATTTAACCGCCTTGTAATAGCCAAGGTCATAGGAGGACAAAACTGTTTCGAAAGGTATTTTATAACAGAGCGTTTTGTGGTGGAACATAGCTTTTTGCCTTTCAATACTGTTTTACTATTTAAGTTATGAATCCATCCTGAATTTTTTCTCTTGCTTAATTGAAAAACGTTTGTTTTAATGACATTACTTTCAGAATCATCGTATTGATGGTGTAATCAATAATCAATCATGAAAAGGCTTAGGTAGTTAGAAGAATTTTTGTCAAGAAGTTGGTTTAAAACGACACGTTTCCTTTACCAGTATTGTTTCATTGGTTTGATCCTTTATGTATTTATATTTTTTATTGTCACAATTACTTTTTTATTCGTAATTTGAATATCTGAATAGCTTTGCTTTACTTGCTTTAACCGTTTTCTTTTTTTCTTTAAAAAAATTGTTTATTTATACAATAACGGTCTGCTACAAACATAGATTAAATCCGGCAAAATATCAATTCTTCTCAAAATATTTAATTATACAATAACGGTCTGCTACAAACATAGATTAAAACCGGCAAAATATCAATTCTTGTCAAAATATTTAATTTCTGAATATTATATACATAATTGATGTGAAAATTATAAAATACGTCAGATTGCTGATTGGATCAATAAATACTTCTTTCAATTATTTTGAAATGTTAAAATAATTTGTAACCCACATAAATCAAATACTACTATATATATGATATATTGGATCATCCCTAGGCCAAAGAAGTCAAGTGATGTATGAATAAAAGATGTGGAACCAAATTGTTATTTTCAGGATATCGATAAAAAAAAACTACTAATAAAGAATGAGTGAACGGATTTTGACCAATATACATATTTTGTATCATAATAACTGAAGAAGAAAAGTGACTCTTAAACGTAATAATATGATAATTATATATACTATTCATAAGAGTGTTTGTTCATACACACAGCAGGATAAAAACATGTCTAGACCGTCTTATCAGTATTAGCCGAGGTCATTTGGGGACAAACGCTTCAGGCCATCACTGGACAGTGTGTTTTGTATATATATAGATATATATCTTGGTCAATGTGTATAGGACGATCGTGATCCATGGCTACTTGATGGGATAGATGGGTTGTTCGTGTTTCGTATTTGGTACTGTTGACTTAAATTTCAAGACAATAACAATTTTTCTTTCTTGGATGATAACATATCGGCCTTCTATTATGGTAAAGTTAGCAGGCTCTGGAATAAGGTACTATGATATATTTTATATTCCTTAGTGTGTTTACAAATTCTGGAGTAACAACGCAACTGTGGCGTGTACATTGAACTCATTAAGTCTTTTAGTTACTACCAAGGAAAGTAGTATATGATCATGAAACTGTTTAAGCTAAAAATAAATAACTTTATTACTTATAAAACTGAAACTGGTTTCCACTTTATGACGTTAAAAGATAATTCCGTAAAACTGATTTACATAAAGTTTCGAGTGCTTTTCAGGGAGATAAAAAACTCAATTTAAACGGTTACCTCATTTTTAGTTTAAAATTTCAGTTTAAACCATGTTTGAATCATACCAGTCAACACGTACAATTACAAAGACGTTTGATAGTGATGATTAGGAATTCAGTAAAGAACTAACGTACTACTAGCGTTTTGAACTTTTTAATATATGGATTTTTCATAATAATCGAATTATCATTATTTCATATATAAGAACGTAAATACTTTCTTACTTAGTTTGACATATATATTTTTTATGTCTGCCGATGAAAATGTCCTTAACAAATACACATCCAATTTGTTTCGTATTAAATATTGCACAAACTAAACAAAATCCAAAAAAATATATTTAAAAAAGCAAATGTTACATCTGTTTTTTACTTTAAAACAAACTGAAAACTATATGAAAATTCACCATGGAAAATTTACAGAACCAAACCATACAAACAAAGGTATTGGACTTGTGCACCATATATTTCAATATTTTTATACAAGTTGATATCGACACAAAATAGTTGGCTTACACAGCAGAAGTTACTTTACGCTAGCCTCTATTGAAATAAAGGTCAACCATAACATATAACGTTTGACAAAGGAATATAAAATGGGGATACATACCTTATTTATTACATGAACTCTACAAAAAAAGCAAATGGAAATATTTAGATCTTTGTTTACTTATATACAATATTGCTGTAGGAACCTTTCTGTAATTCTAGTATTATTGTACAGATGATTTTAAGTTTCGTATTTCTAGTTGTTATTGTAAATAATTAATAAGCACACAACTTTTAGGTAATTTACAGCTACTTAAATATGTGAGATTTTCTGTGGTATTTCATGTCATTCCTTTGTATTTGTTTTCTCCTCGGTTTACCTTTTTCATTTGTGTGTTGTCGCTTAACTTTTCTTTCTATGTTATGCAGTACATATTGGCTGTTATATAAAATATTTTGTGATAAATTTATAGAAAGATCAAATTCATGGGCAATATCAAATCACACACTGCACTATTATACCAGATAAAACAGTAGTTTAAAATAAACAATCAGATAAACTGCTAGTCGCAAATTATGTGTGGCAATGTTAGTTTCGATAAAGATCGCCTGTTCAAATATCCAACCAGCATAAATGTTGTTTGGCCAAAAAGGCGATCACAACAACAACCACGACAACAACAACAACTTTTTTGTCGTGCTAATTGTGTTATGTTTAACGAAATAAGTAATTTCTATAGGCCATAAGATACGTGTATAGTCGTTTGTCATTTCAAGACATAAAAACTAAATATTTGAAAAGTTGTTTACGTTTTGATTAGTAAGTAGAACATGTAGTATACGTGTGGATGATAAAAAAAGAATCAATCATTATTCCAAACATTAGTTGATATTCCAGATTCTCCGGTATGATGAATAAAACTAGGGGAATAAGCAGACTTACATCTTTGGGCTGTGTTGTACTGTTGTTAAAATAAAGGCTAAGACTTTGTAAAGGTGTTTTGTTGAACAAGCGGAATATCCTATCATAAACAATTTATTAAAATCTGAGTTCTTATTTTAATATAATTTAATCTTGCTTGTAAGAAGCATTGTCATTGGCGTGAAAAAAAATATGTTATCATCCCATAACGTAAAACAATGACGTCGCCGTTTGTAACGTCGCTTTTGATTGGCTGATACAACAGCGCAATAATTTCTAAGAGTCCATCAATAAAAGTGGATTTCCACAGGGATTGTGTAAAGTAGATTAAATTATAAGGATTAACTTGAATATATTTTTCATGTTATGGAAGTATTACACAAAAAACCCGGAGTGAACTCTCATCATAAACCGCTTCGTGGTTTATTTAGAGTACACTCCATTTTTTTGTGTTATACCTCCATAACATGACAAATATGTTCAAGTTAATCCTTAACTATTAATTAATATGGATTTCCGCTTTTTTGCCATGGACTTTGACAGCAGGTCCATGTAAAACATTTACACTAATACTTAAGCTCAACGTAGATATTGGAATCTGTAGACGTCTCACAAGGGTATTTATTCATAGATGGTAATCGCCTTAAGTTCTCTCTTCGTCAATGTCTCAAATAGCTCCGATATCACATATAAAGATTTCGAATTTAACACAATATAAAAACTCTGTGTCTACTTTGTTGAAATCAACCGTAGTTGGCCGATTGGAATTGGTATTTTTATTCTTTAAAAGCTATTTGACAAGTATATGTTATTTCACGAATAAATCATGAATTTGGAGTTCTAACTGTTCACGCTCTGTTCTATCTTTGCAGGTAACGCCTGTGAAACAGGAACACACACATGCGACAGAGATGCCATCTGCATCAACACCAGGCGGCGCTATAAGTGCCGATGCAAGCCAGGTTTTTATGGGACAGGGAAAATATGTGTAGGTGAGCAATCGATGAAAATTTGAAGAATATATCTGTCCATGTGTACAAGAAATATCTATCTGGAAATGTAAAATAACATTACATATCTTACCATGCAATCTAGCAGTATATATAAAAACATGTAAGCAATGTAGTTCTGTCTATGTATTCTAGCAGTATATATCTGACCATACAAACTAGCAGTATGTATCTGGCCATGCTTACTTCCCGAATATATCTGAGAATGTAAACTAGCAGTATATTTCTGACCATGTTAAATACCGGTATCAATCTGACCATGTTTACAAGCAGTATATACCATGTACAATACCAGTTGTATGTGAGCATGTTAACTACCAGTTGTCCAACCATCGAATCGAACTCTAGCTGTATATGTCTGACCAGATAAACTAGCAGTTTTCTAACCATGTATATGTCTGACCAGATAAACTAGCAGCTTTCTAACCATGTAATCGAACTCTAGCTGTATATGTCTGACCATATAAACAAGTAGTTGTCTGACCATGTAATCGAACTCTAGCTGTATATATCTGACTATATAAACTAGCAGTTTTCTGACCATGTAGTCGAACTCTGGCTGTATATGTCTGACCATATACACTAGCAGTTGTGTAACCATGTAATCGAACTCTAGCTGTATATGTCTGACCATATACACTAGCAGTTGTGTAACCATGTAATCGAACTCTAGCTGTATATGTCTGACCATATAAACCAGCAGTTGTCTGACCATGTAATCGAACTCTAGCTGTATACATCGGACCATATAAACTAGCAGTTGGCTAACCATGTAGTCGAACTCTAGCTGTATATGTCTGACCATATAAACTAGCAGTTGTCTGACCATGTCATAGAACTCTAGCTGTGTATGTCTGACAATATAAACTAGCAGTTGCCTGACCATGTAATCGAACTCAAGCTGTATATGTCTGACCATATAAACTAGCAGTTTTTCAACCATGCCGTCGAACTCTAGCTGTATATATCTGACCATATACACTAGCAGTTGTCTGACCATGCAGTCGAACTCTAGCTGTATATGTCTGACCATATACACTAGCAGTTGTCTGACCATGCAGACGAACTCTAGCTGTATATGTCTGATCATATACACTAGCAGTTTAAATGTGACCATGTAAAATTGTAGTATGTATCGAACCATGTAAACAAGCAGTTGTCTGACCATGTTATTTCGCTCAAACTTTTGACTGTCCATATTAATAAGCAGGGTGTTATAACAAACCGTACTAGTACATGTCGTATAAGGTCTGTTATAAAGACGAATAACTTGCAGTGTGTGTATCAATAGTAGTAATGAAAATAGACGTTTGTAGGTAACATCAACTAGCGTGTGTGTAGTTCTATAAACTAACAGTATGTGTCTCAATAGTTGTAATTTAAACTTGAAGTGTGTCTCTCAATAGTTGTAATGTATACTTAAAGTGTTTGTCTCTCAATAGTTGTAATATATACTTATAGTGCTTGTCTCTATGGTTGTGATATATACTTTCAGTGTGTGTCTAAATGGTTGTAATATATACTTTCAGTGTGTGTCTCAATAGTTGTAATATATACTTTCAGAGTGTGTTTCAATAGTTGTAATATATACTTTCCGTGTGTCTCTAAATGGTTGTTATACATACATATAGGACATAGTGTTTGTCTCTCAATAGTTGTAATATATACGTATAGTGTTTGTCTCTATGATTGTAATATCTACGTCTAGTGTTTGTTTCAATGGTTGTAATATATACGTATAGTGTTTGTCTCAATGGTCGTAATATATACGTATGGTGTTTGTCTAAATGGTTGTAATATATACTTTCAGTGTTAGTCTCTATGGTTGTAATATATACGTATAGTGTTTGTCTAAATGGTTGTAATATATACTTTCAGTGTTTGTCTCGGGGATTGTAATATATACGTATAGTGTTTGTCTCAATGGTTATAATATATACGTATAGTGTTTGTCTCTATGGTTCTAATATATACTTTCAGTGTGTGTCTCAATGGTTATATATACGTATAGTGTTTGTCTCTATGGTTGTAATATATACGTATGGTGTTTGTCTCAATGGTTGTAATATATACTTTCCGTGTTTGTCTCTTTGGTTGTAATATATACGTATGGGGTTTGTCTCAATGGTTGTAATATATACTTTCAGTGTTTGTCTCTTTGGTTGTAATATATACGTATGGGGTTTGTCTCAATGGTTGTAATATATACTTTCAGTGTTTGTCTCTTTGGTTGTAATATATACGTATGGTGTTTGTCTCAATGGTTGTAATATATACTTTCAGTGTTTGTCTCTGTGGTTGTAATATATACGTATGGTGTTTGTCTCAATGGTTGTAATATATACTTTCAGTGTTTGTCTCTGTGGTTGTAATATATACGTATGGTGTTTGTCTCAATGGTTGTAATATATACTTTCCGTGTTTGTCTCTTTGGTTGTAATATATACGTATGGTGTTTGTCTCAATGGTTGTAATATATACTTTCAGTGTTTGTCTCGGGGATTGTAATATATACGTATAGTGTTTGTCTCAATGGTTATAATATATACGTATAGTGTTTGTCTCTATGGTTATAATATATACGTATAGTGTTTGTCTCTATGGTTCTAATATATACTTTCAGTGTGTGTCTCAATGGTTATATATACGTATAGTGTTTGTCTCTATGGTTGTAATATATACGTATGGTGTTTGTCTCAATGGTTGTAATATATACTTTCCGTGTTTGTCTCTTTGGTTGTAATATATACGTATGGGGTTTGTCTCAATGGTTGTAATATATACTTTCAGTGTTTGTCTCGGGGATTGTAATATATACGTATAGTGTTTGTCTCAATGGTTGTAATATATACGTTTAGTGTTTGTCTCTATGGTTGTAATATATACTTTCAGTGTTTGTCTCGGGGATTGTAATATATACGTATAGTGTTTGTCTCAATGGTCGTAATATATACGTATGGTGTTTGTCTAAATGGTTGTAATATATACGTATAGTGTTTGTCTCAATGGTTATAATATATACGTATAGTGTTTGTCTCTATGGTTCTAATATATACTTTCAGTGTGTGTCTCAATGGTTATATATACGTATAGTGTTTGTCTCTATGGTTGTAATATATACTTTCAAAGTGTGTCTCAATAGTTGTAATATATACTTTCAGTGTGTCTCTAAATGGTTGTAATATATACTTTCAGTGTTTGTCTCTTTGGTTGTAATATATACGTATGGTGTTTGTCTCAATGGTTGTAATATATACTTTCAGTGTTTGTCTCGGGGATTGTAATATATACGTATAGTGTTTGTCTCAATGGTCGTAATATATACGTATGGTGTTTGTCTAAATGGTTGTAATATATACGTATAGTGTTTGTCTCAATGGTTGTAATATATACGTATAGTGTTTGTCCCTATGGTTGTAATATATACTTTCAGTGTTTGTCTCGGGGATTGTAATATATACGTATAGTGTTTGTCTCAATGGTTATAATATATACGTATAGTGTTTGTCTCTATGGTGGTAATATATACTTTCAGTGTGTCTCTAAATGGTTGTTATACATACATATAGTACATAGTGTTTGTCTCCATGGTTGTAACATATACGTATAGTGTTTGTCTCTATGATTGTAATATATACGTATAGTGTTTGTCTCAATGGTCGTAATATATACGTATGGTGTTTGTCTAAATGGTTGTAATATATACGTAAAGTGTTTGTCTCAATGGTTGTAATATATACGTATGGTTTTTGTCTAAATGGTTGTAATATATACGTAAAGTGTTTGTCTCAATGGTTGTAATATATACGTATAGTGTTTGTCTCTATGGTTGTAATATATACTTTCAGTGTGTGTCTTAATGGTTGTAATATATACGTTTAGTTTTTGTCTCAATGGTTGTAATATATACTTTCAGTGTTTGTCTCAATGGTTGTAATATATACGTATAGTGTTTGTCTCTATGGTTGTAATATATACGTATAGTGTTTGTCTCTATGGTTGTAATATATACTTTCAGTGTGTGTCTCAATGGTTATATTATAAATTAACAGTCAGTTTGTAGTAGTTGTAAAATATAAGCTTGCAGTGTGTAATTTTAGTTGTTTTGTTATATAAACATGACGATTGTTTGTCTTTCAATGAAACTAGCAGTATATGCTATTCTATATAAACTAGAAGTGTGTGTCTTACTGTATCAATGAGCATTGTATGTCTTAATAGTTCCGTCATATAATCTAGTAGTATGTACCCCAATACCTATAACCTGTGTCCTTTGTGTGATGTCGTTATATATTCCGTCATAGATTAGTTTTTGCACGTGTTAATTTCAAATAGTTTTTACATGCTCCATGTGGATACCTAATAATGTGCTAGTAATGTGTGTGATATTGTTGCAACAGAAATATTTATAACTATAGCTTTATTGATTTCATATGTTGCTTTATATATCATGAGCATGATGATACTTAAATATCTGTAAATTATCTATCAGACAAGTAATTCAACAGAGATCACATACCTTACTTTCGTAACAGCGTGTCTGATTAGGTGATATTGATTAAATAAATGATCATGTTTGCTTCGCTCGCTTATTTCCCAAATTTGGAGGCTCTCTAGTCAAATAGGCAAGAACTACCACAACCGGGTTCGGAATGACGGAAGCAGTCGACAACGTTATCATCTTGGATTATTGTTTTAATCCGGCGTAATAACATATTGTATTCCCCTAGTGGTAGAGAAACACGATTCTTTGTTTCTCCTCTGTCTTTGCCCGAGTTGTTAAACATGATCAATCCAGGAAAAACGAAGACTCGAGCTTCCCTACATGAAAAACAAGGGCAATAAATATATAATAAATCATCCGGCCTTCAGCCTCTGGAAAATAATACCGCCCCGAGTCAACAGTTATCCATGGGTACATGTACCTAAAAAGTCAAAAACTGTGTAACATCAGATGAAACTGTTGCAATCACGTTATATTGAGCGTATCAAACAAAACCAAAACTCAGCATATACATTTGAATAAAAACGTTTGAAAATTACAATGAATCTTTCTATAATTATCTGTACACGTGAAGACAATTAGAATGCCATTTAAAAAATAAAGCTGCAGATGTTCACATTTTTGTGATGTAGTTAAATGCCAAATTATCCTATCAATAAAGATTGATGAACATTTACCCAAAAAACCTAATATCGGTAAGTGTAACCACAAATTGTTGGTAGCTTTACGTTTAATAGATCTGGAAACAACATGGAGAATAACTGATGTTTAATGAAAGAGAAAATAACAGAAAACAGAATTTGAGGTTTTTGTAGTAATTTGATAGAAAAACTTTACTGACACATGTCACGAATCATTCTATGTACAAATTGCACATGTCAAAAATAACAGCAAACAGCAATGGCAAATACAGTACAGTGTTATATAGATTAGAAAATTTAAAAAAATGGAAATGTCTTCCCTATTTTTCTTTTTACCTAGTGCATATTCCAGGCTTGCCTGCTCTCTGTTCCACTGTCTCGAGACTCAATCCTTTGGCAATAACACAATGCATGACTACAAAATTTCCCAATCCAACCATCATTTTATCAAGCTTGTCTTGTCTTCTCAGAAAAAAAACCCACCTCAAACAAACGTAGTTAAAACATCTCTAGTACGCCAAATGGTAAATTAGGGTTAAAGTAATTACTAAGATCGATTTCATGTTTGCATTGTTTTTTTTTTTTTAAAGTTTATGGCATGTTGTACCCGTATAGTGTAGTTTTATGAGAACATTACCATATTTGTGATAATGTATTAATTAGTAATCAACGATTTAAAGTTAATAACCACATCTTGACGAACAATTGTGATTATTATACTGTAAGTGATCATATTTTTGCGGTCTTCTTATTTTAGCGCTTTTGCGCTGATATTCTTGATCTTCAATGCTCTAATCTATTAAAATTCCATAATATGCTAGTATTTAATATTTGTATTTTATATTTCAGATGAAAATGAATGTGATTATGAGAATGGAGGCTGTGTCCATTTCTGTCAGAATCAGAGTGGAAATTATACCTGCAGCTGTAAGGATGGGTTCGTGTTGGATAGGGATGGACACAACTGTATAGGTAAGGGATGGTTCGTGTGGACAGGGAATGGACACAACGGTAAAGGTAAGGGATGGTTTGTAATGGGCATGGATGGACACAACTGTATAGGTAAGGGATGATTTGTAATGGGCATGGATGGACACAACTGTATAGGTAAGGGATGGTTTGTAATGGACAGGGATGGGCACGACTGTATAGGTAAGGGATGATTTGTAATGGACATGGATGGGCACAACTGTATAGGTAAGGGATGGTTTGTAATGGACAGGGATGGACACAACTGTATAGGTAAGGGATGGTTTGTAATGGACAGGGAATGGACACAACTGTATAGGCAAGGGATGGTTTGAACTGGACAGATATGGACAAAATTGTATTATGTCCGGGATGATTTGTAATGGACAGGGATGGACACAACTAAATAGGTAAGGGATGGTTGGAAATGGACAGGGATGGACACAACTGTATAAGTAAGGAAGAATTTGTTATAGACAGGGATGGTGCGTTGTTTTCATTTCCTATTGTTGTTTTGATAAAGTTTCTGGGTTTAAAATTGATTTCTGATTGTGTCCATTTATTTTGACGATATTTATTTTCTGCTTAGAAATCCTCTAAATAAAAAAACACCAATCAGCCATCGGCTGTTAGCATTCCTTAACTCACTCATAGATATGATACACATTTTCAAACATATCTCATCGATTTCCTTCATGAGTTTTCATGAATTTCTTAAATTCCATTTGCCATAATATTATATAACACTCATGAAGTCCTCCAACAATATTATCTAATATATATCTGGTACACACATATATATATATACATGTAAATATCAATGTTCTCGCAGTAAAAGACGTTTTGTGGATGATAATGTTTAAACACATTCATCATCGACATTTGTTCAATACAAAACACTAGTTGTGATCAATAAGCCATATATATTCTGATTTCTGATGAACTGGGGTCAGTCGAAGTCCTAATCCCAGTCGATTGCACGTAATGATATACAGAAAATATGGTATTGAAGGGCAATAAAACTAGAATACAAGCCGGGGTCAACAGTGTTATGTGTATATAAGGTGTATATTTATGTTTCACACTGGTATATGATAGCCTACAACCAGGAACATAAACACTTGCATCTTTGTAGCGTTTAACTTCAATTCATATGATTTATTTCTCTTTGAAAATATATCGGAATAGAGCGAATCTGTTCCTCGTATAGATGTCACCTGTTAGATTATAAACTGCGTATTGTGGCAGTCCTGCTATTTCTCACACATACTTACACTGCTTCTTTTTCATATTAGGTTTTATTTTGAAACAAGCAATAACGCCATTTATACAAACTGTTAGAAGTGTCACTCAGTACCATGGGTTCATAGAATACAGACGCTTTGGGTTTTTGCCTTTCTAAGTAATGTGGCATTAATTGTTCTGTACGTGTCAACGGCGCTACCAAATCTAAATAGATAACTAGATAGCAAGTGATGTTTTTAATTAAAAAATACATAGAGATACCTTAGATAAATGTTTCCATTTTCCCCCTTTAAAATGGGTTTGTTTATGAACGTTTTTCGGTAACTGGCAAAATAAGGTTTCCACCTAAATTCATCGATTTGTTTGTCAGTAACTGAGTGCATTTTGGTCTTTATGAAACCGAGAATATATTTACCATCCGCAACAGAATTGAAAAAGCGAAATAGGAATTAAAAGTAACAGATGTGAATTCATGAAGATATGGGTTATCAAAAATGACCTTTTCATGTTTAACTCTTTCATTAAAGAAAAGTACTTCGCTCTGTTCAAAGAAAATATAACAATGTTTGTAGGAATCTCATTGCATAACAGCATCAATTAGGGTATGTCTATTGAAAAACATACAGACGTTTTTTTGCATATCGTCCTTTCATTAGGTGCGACCATAAGTACAGTGGGTCAAATCTCTCATTAATTTCGGTCCAAAAATAATTAGAAGGGTACATTAAAGTGTAAGGAAACCGTACTTAGAACTCGTCGAAGGTGTAAATGAAACATTTACACTGAGGTCATTGAAAAGTTATAAGGAAAATAAGACCAGGGTGAAGTTGTTCAAAAGATAATTAGCTTAATCAGTGATTAGCACAAATTTTAATGTTTGATTATCTATAAAACAAAGTCATTGAATTAGTTACAACTTTTTAGGTATAAAATATTTAGTGAAATTAACTTACATAAAAAAAAGGTGAGAGTTTACCTTGTATACTGACAAAATTATTAAAGGTTGAAAATTGTCGTAAAACAGTGATTAAGCTAGCAATCTTTTAAACAACTTGGCCCAGATGTTTTTGAAGGTTAAGCGTCTCCTGCTTTCTTATTTATTTAATGTCACGTTCTCAAAAGTATGAACATCAGCAAACAGTTGATATTCATATCATAAAATTAAGATAGTATTTTTCCGATGAAAACAATGGAAGCTTCATATTCATATATTGTCGTTAGCGTTCAACATCTATCACGAATATAGTGATATTCGAAAATATATCGAATCAACTTCCGTGATAGATGTCGACCGCTGACGGACAAACTTATAACACAGGGTTTCCGTGATAGAAGTCGACCGCTGACGGACAAACTTATAACAAAGGGTTTCCGTGATAGATGTCGACCGCTGACGGACAAACTTACAACACAGGGTTTCCGTGATAGATGTCGACCGCTGACGGACAAACATATAACACAGGGTTTCCGTGATAGATGTCGACCGCTGACCGACAAACTTACAACACAGCTAGGGTTTCCGTGATAGAAGTCGACCGCTGACGGACAAACTTATAACACAGGGCTTCCGTGATAGAATTCGACCGCTGACGGACAAACTTATAACACAGGGTTTCCGTGATAGATGTCGACTGCTGACGGACAAACTTATAACACAGAGTTTCCGTGATAGATGTCGACCGCTGACGGACAAACTTATAACACAGGGTTTCTAAAGTTGCAAGTTGGTGAAGACTATGGACAAGTACAATGTATTATAGTCACCATCAGGACCTCGCAGAGAAATATACCATTTGTGTGATATGGTACGGGGATCCGTTATGGCACTGACAAAAGATTGTAAATATAGATAGGTGTTTCAATTGGCGCAACGATAAGTTCTTGTTACTTAATGATTTTGTTTTTTCAGATAAAAATGAGTGTTTAGAAAACCTGGGAGGATGCCAGGCCCAGTGTGTCAACACCCTAGGTAGCTATGAATGTCGGTGTAATCAAGGCTATTCATTGGCTCCAGATGGGCGTACATGTCAGTGTAAGTACCCAACACGCATGCGTGCAATTTATGACATGTATTACAGAATATTCTCTCTTCCCTTCTTTACACTCCTAGCAATTAGTACTTACACTATTGAAGTCTAGGATCTGGTAATAGTGGGGTTTTTTGGCAAAAATCGATGTTAAACTGAAGACTTTATATAGAGAAATATATAGCAGCAACAGCAATGTGGAATCTGGTGTAATAGTAATATATTCAACACTAAACAATGTAGGCGATAGAACGAAAATCGGTTGGCCCTGGACCAGTTTAACATTAAGAACGTATCTGTTATAACACTTCAGTGAATTATCCCTTCATAATGCTAACTCACGAAAAATAAATGCTAGTACATGCACACCCATGCATGTTTTCTAGTAATAAATATTCATGCAACAGCGATATCAGAAAACACGATTTTAAAGGCGCAAAGATGCGAATTAATGCAAACATATAATCTTAGCACGGCAGAGATCGGTGCAGAGTTCGTATTATTACTTTGAAAGTTTAGAACAGTAAATATCATGTTGGTAGACCTATGTGTACTATCATCTGACATACGGTAAATTCAGTTTGTTTATGAAGTCAAACAAAGTAAATATATTTACTCCACAAGTTTCGTCTATTTAAGAATGTGTCTTTAAAACATTTAAAACGTCACAAATAAGATAAAAAAAAATCGCTATAGTAGGTCATATATACTTCAACTAGTATTTTATGTAAATCATGTCAGAACAATTGGTTAACCCTGAACGTGATATCAATTGTTTCGTCAGCTAAAGATATAAGGCTTAAAGAAAGTTAGATCACAAATACAGTACAAGTATTAACGCTGTGCCCTTATACAGGTCACATAGTTGCAGGAAGAAAGGTAATCTAATTTAAATTTTAAATTAAACCTTACTCAAACTTAATCATTTAAACAGCAAGGTTCATTTCTCACGAAGGGCCGCTTGTATCTGGAGAGACGTTAAATGGCGATTGTTCCGTGCACGTCTATCGGTCTTATTACGGTCACTCAGTAGAGGTATTTGGATGTTTGATTTAAGTAATAACCGTATTTTATATTTAAAATGACTTTACATTCGTGCAATGTTTCAACAAGGGGTCGTAAATAGATTATAATCGCTGTGTACATTGCTCACATAGTTTTTTTGGTGTCGTGGAATAGGAACCGTACCAGTTCGTGTGTACAGGGTTCGGATCGTGATCAATTTCACGGCGAATTAATTTGGGGACTTAACACATACACACCTGTCGTTACCCGCCATCGATAAAGGGCTACACAATTACACTCCACTAAACAACCTCACCTTACTAATTGTGAATAAGCTAGAAATAGAAATCCAGTGTTAACTCGAGAACTCAAAGTACAAATATAGGGTACGAAACACCCGAAATAGACCCGGATCGCTAGATCTCGTCTGCTTTAGGTAAAGGCGACTGCGCAATTAGGACATGTCTGATAAACTTATATAATAATCTTGATGTATGCGGCATAATATCGTCCAAACAAACCACTCACCCGCGATTGATTTGTAATCAAACCGTGATACAAAAAACTGTAGAAAAAAAATAATGTAGAGAAACTACTGTAAACCGGGAAATTTCCGCCGCAGTTTATTTCGCCGCAGTTTAATTTTCGCCTTTTCGCCCTCCTCCTCGTATCTATCATGACAGCGAAGATTTGTACACAACAAGCAATATATAGTACTTACACGTGAAGGGCGAAATATAGATTTTATCAGAAAGTGGCGAATATTTTACTGGGCGAAATGCTCCAGTATACCATACATGTATGTAATACCATACATGTGTTATACTTCACTATAAAGAATATACCACTTTTACCCTACAACATAACTTTTAATTTTTGTGTTTTTACTAATGCAAATATGTAATACAGCTACTCCATTATGCATCATATACAAATAGGCAATACTTTGATTATGTGTTATAAAATAAATGTTATTTACATTATGTTACATCTAAATGAGGACTCACAATTCCTGTAAAGCAACATTGGCAATGTGTAGGATTGACTTTGGACATGTACTGAGTTCTACCACTAAAATTTCGGCTTTCTTTTTCTGTTATTATTTTGTTTGATAACTAATTCAATTGATAATAAATGAAAGGCTGTAAAATTCAGTGAAAGGTATGTTTCATACGGAAACAATTTGCAGAGAATTACACAAATGTATACATAGTTTGTGATAGCACCAAGTAGAATTCTGTCTGGAAAAACATCGAAGGCAGTGTTCTTTGAACTGAGGAATAAAAAAGAGGTTGATAGCAGTGTTGTTATAGAAAACTTTATTTTGCTATTGTATTAAAATAATGTATTCTTTAAGTCTAACTGTTTAACAGATGCAAAACATACAGAGATACAGGTAGCATACCTTTTTATAAAAATGAAAAACTGTAATGACTGAATGCTCTGCTTCAATAACAAGTATAGAAATTCCACAAGATTGTTCCACTCTTTTACATAACAAATACTTAGGATTAGGACATGTTTTAAACGCTTGTTTTCAAATAGGAAATCTGTATTCTACGCAAAAAATAGATGAAAACTTTTAAATAAAATGAAAATCATGCTATATATACATGTATCCTGGATACATCCTAAATGTGTATCGCCACCAGATGTAATGATCTCAATATTGATCGTCTTATAGTCTTTCATTGATGCTAAAATCTGTATCTTCTATGTTTCAGATGGAACATACTGTCAAGAGAATTTCCAATGCCAACATTTCTGCCACACCCCTTCCGGAAAACTGGTTTGTGGATGTCGGGAAGGCTATAGACTCGCTAGCAACACACTCGACTGCATTCGTACGTAGGTTTCAATCTTTGTAGGATCAGTAAATAATAACAAATTTTCCATGAAGTTTTCCTCAAGCCATCTTTCCTTGAATGGCCTTGTATTTTCCTTGATCTTATTATTCAGGAGTTGATCTTTGTGATGCTATTACTAAACGATACACAGGATAGACTGTTTTATTTTATCGATCTGTTTATTTTACTCTCCTGTCCGTCTCATCGTTGTTCTGCATTACTTTGTAATTTTGGTTGGTGATGTCACATCTCGTTAATATGGTATGCTTGAACCGTCGATGTCAATGCCTCGTTTCTAAATGTGATTAGTGTCAACTTTGGCTCTAGACGACATCTGTTATGTGTGATTAGTGTCAACTTTGGCTCTAGACGACATCTGTTATGTAGCATGTTTGATCATTGGCTCTAGACGACATCTGTTATGTAGCATGTTTGATCATTGGTTCTTGATGCACCTCGGTTGCTTTTCATGTCTCTGTACTTTACTGTCTTTGGACCTTGACCTTAGGTGTGTTTTCTCTCTGCTGTACATTGTTTGAACGTTGACTTTAGGTGTCATGTCTCTTGCTTTACTGTCTTTGGACCTTGACCTTAGGTGTCTTTTCTCTCTGCTGTACATTGTTTGAATCTTGACCTTAGGTGTCATGTCTCTTTGCTTTCCTGTCTTTGGACCTTGACCTTAGGTGTGTTTTCTCTCTGCCGTACATTGTTTGAACGTTGACTTTAGGTGTCATGTCGCTTGCTTTACTGTCTTTGGACCTTGACCTTAGGTGTCTTTTCTCTCTGCTGTACATTGTTTAAACCTTGACCTTAGGTGTCATGTCTCTCTGCTGTGCATTGTTTGAACCTTGACCTTAGGTGTCCTTTCTCTCTGCTGTACATTGTTTGAATCTTGACCTTAGGTGTCATGTCTCTTTGCTTTACTGTCTCTGGACCTTGACCTTAGGTGTCTTTTCTCCCTGCTGTACATTGTTTGAACCTTGATCTTAGGTGTCATGTCTCTCTGCTGTGCATTGTTTGAACCTTGACCTTAGGTGTCTTTTCGCTCTGCTGTACATTGTTTGAACCTTGCCCTTAGGTGTCATGTCTCTTTGCTTTACTGTCGTTGGACCTTGACCTTAGGTGTCTTTTCTCCCTGCTGTACATTGTTTGAACCTTGACTTTAGGTGTCTTTTCTCTCTGCTGTACATTGTTTGAACCTTGACCTTAGGTGTCATGTCTCTCTGCTGTACATTGTTCGAACCTTGTCCTTTGATGTCACGGCCCTTTGCTGTACATTGTTTGTACCTTGCCCTTTGATGTCACATCTTTATGCTTCACTTTTTTTCAGCCATTGTTTTCGGTTGCATCTGTTTGTTTTGTTTATTTTAAACCTTGACCTTTGAGTACACATCTCTCTGCTTTACTGTGTTTGAGTCTTAACCTTTGATTTTACATTTCTATGCTCTTCTCTGTTTTAACCTTAACTTTGATGTCACGTCTCTTTGCTGTGCTATGTTTGAACCATGGCTCTCTGCTGAACTATGCTTGAACCTTGATCTTTTCTTTTATGGCACGTATCTTTGCTGTGGTATAGTTATACCTTGGCTGTTGGTGTCACATCTCTTTAAAGCGATATGTTCCAACACTCGCTTTTGATGTCTAGTCTACCTATTGTTCTTTGTTTTACATTGGTTGTTGACGTCACGTCGCGTTACTGTTGAAAGTTTTAACACTTCTTAATGTGACGTCTCTTTACTGTGGCAGGTTTTGGTTTTTAACCTTGGTTGTTGATTTCATGTTTGAATAAATATGTTGCGCCTCTTTAGTGTACTATCCTTGAACCTCATTTGTTTGCGTCACGTTGTTTATGCGCTATATTGGACGCATACTTGTGGATGTCCGGTGCAAACTGAACTCCTGTGTGGGAAGTTATCTCTCCGCACCTATTTAACTGCCAGTATATATGTTTTTAGGATCGGCGCTTTAATTGTCCTAGATTCTCAGTAAACGTGCACATTATGAAAAACCTTTGTTTCAATGCCAAGCAATTTAAATTTTTCCTTTTATCAACCTCTTTACTGACGTACTTTGATGAAAGTTTTCTATTAGAGGCGAGTCTTACCACTGTATCATTTCGGAACTGAAGCCTCAAAATGATTTTAAAAATCGATGGATAATACCTCAGAATGACTGTGTCTAGTAATTTATTTTCTTATACTACAATTGAAAATGCGTTGGTTTTTTTTATATGAAAATAAGCGTTAGTGTTGTAAGGCGACATGTTTACTGTTGTATTGTGGGTACCTTTGTGACTCGTGAGATATAGGACGACATGTTGACTGTTGTATTGTGGGTATATTTGTGAAGGCATGAGAAGTAAGATGACATGTTGCACGCTGGGTAGTTATTTGTGACCGCGTGAGATGGATGTCGGGCTACATGTTGACTGTTGTATTGTGGGTATCGTTTTGTAAGGCGAAATGTTGACAGTTGTACTATTGGTATCGTTGTGTTATTTTTGTGTCGTAGAGACGTGCGGAGCCGGAAATGGTGGATGTCAACATAATTGTACGGACACCCCGCTGGGTCCCACGTGTTCCTGTGCTCCTAAATACATTCTGAGGGACGATAATCACACATGTATTGGTAAGTTATATTCAAGGATTTCACGAGTGTGGCGAAAAAAAAATGAACAAGATAAACAATAAGGGATAATACCTTTTTTGTATTAACTTATTCGTAATTTTTATCTTGAGATAAGAAATTGCTTTTTATGATAGTCAATATGGTCATAAAAATACATGATACTATTATATACAGAATTAGTTAAACACTTTTCTGAAATATAATCATCTATATCCAGAACAGGCAGTCAGTAAAAAGATGGTCAAAATGGTCATACAAAGGAATGGTTCAAATATATACAGAATTAAGTACATATTTTTCTGTATATAAATCATCTATATCCAGAATAGCTAGAAATAAGCCAAGGTATAAATCCCTTACTTTTGAATTTTAATGTGTATACGACAGCTTAATATTGAAAATTTCACAAAGGATGTCATGATTACGAACCCACTTTCATCCTTAAGTTACCAGGTTATGAAATACATTATCTGCATAAACCATAGGATGAATAACCTTTTGGCATTCTGTTAATCTGTTTTAGCGCTTACCAATATCGAGCAGTTAATATTTTTTCGTTTCGCGTTCGAGAAAAAAATGTATAAAACATATAACAGTCTTAGTTTAACAGACATATTGATTTATTAAAGGTTGCTTTAAACTCTAGACATGCCTTTCATGAAATCTTCATTAACTTAGCACAGATTAAATTTCATTCCGATTTTTTTTGTAATAAGACATCGTGTTGACTGTTTTGCAATGACGATGTTAAATTTTAGGTACCAAGTCCATATCAGAATCACATTTGAAACCAAGATTTTTTTTATTTAATTAGATGAAAAAATACTATATGGGTTGAAGAACGTTTAAAGGGAAGTAACTGCGACTCTCCATGCATACTTGCACTTTTGATGTTTTGACAATGGCCTTGTTCGGCTAGTTTATTTACACAGAATTTTATTTTACAGCGTCCTGTGAAGTTAATAATGGTGGCTGCGATAGGAAATGTATAGACACCAAGGCTGGTCCTCAATGTTCCTGTCCGCGGGGTTTCAAATTACACCAGGACGACAGGACTTGTCTAGGTAAGTTTGGTGACGTGACGTCATTAATTGGACATGGTTCAAATCCCTACCTAGAAAAAGAAACCAGTTTACCACCGTACGCAATATATATATATTATATAGAGGTCATTCCTGGTTGACTAGGGATGACGAAGATTATATCATCAAAGAAATATAGACAATAATTTGAAACCTTATTAAACATCTTCATGATTGTGTCCTAAATTGTACAAATACAAATATAATATGTGTTAAGAACGTCATCGCGAACAAATCAGGTTTGTAAGAGATATGATTGTTGCCAAAGTGATTTAACTTTATTGTTCGTTTTCCAATTGTTTTATATGTATTTTATTAGATATAGATGAGTGCCAGATCGCTAATGGAGGTTGTAGCAACGATTGTGTTAATACCAAGGGAGGATATGAATGCGTGTGTCCGAAAGGCTTCAAAGTGCACGTGGACCATCACACATGTACAGGTAAGTAAGATATATGTTATTGTCAGAAATGAACATTGGCAAACGATCATATTTGGAAAACTTACTCACCACAAAACTTACACCATCAAAATAAACGTTGTTATTTATCATTCCAGATGTTGATGAGTGTGAACTTAACACAACCTGTGACCAAAGGTGTGTTAACACGCCCGGGACCTTTCATTGTACCTGTAAGTCAGGCTACCAGCTATATGGCGTCACACACTGCGCAGGTACGTCAAGTATACTTTCAAGACTGGTCAGCTTGGCCACTGGTTAAAAAATGATAATAAGATAAAAAGAACAAATAAGAAAGGGGTTCTGCCATTTTGAACATATTTTTTAGTCGAAATGTTTTAGAAATAATACTACAAGTAAAAGTATTTTTAAACATTTTCTTCAGGTTGATAAGTATGGATTATAAGAAGTTCTTTTTACACAACTAATGAACTGTTCTATGTGACGTTTTCGATGACTAGTACGATATGTACACTGTCACCTTCCTCAGACAAATGGCCAGTGAAGCGTATGCACACACAGGTGTAAAATGTGAACGATTTGTCCATAAAATCGATGTCGATTTCGGCTACGCTGAAAACCTATGTACAATAGATTATATATGTACCGAAATGACTCATTTTCATCCATGAAAGTAAAACTATACTGTGTCCGTGGTAAATGCGCATGACGGAACAATTATCCAATGCTATAGTTCTTAATAAAACAGTAGGAAATGTTTCTTAAGATCAGCATTTCTTCTCGTTGTTTCCTGAATACCAGTGACATTTCCTCGACTGATAGGTGTTTGCCCCTACGTGTTACAGTTACATAACCTCCAAACCACTTGTAGCAAACGTGTGTACAAAGTCTATTTAAAGGATCACATAAGTGGTTTTCCCATTTTACTTACTTTAAAAAAAAATGTCATTTCAAGCTTTTAAATATAGTTCAAGTATTGAAATACAAAATATTTTATAGAAACTATGACTCCATCTAACCCAAAACAGTGAAACATGTATTAATTGATACACATATTGTATTATTCTACTATTTTATTTTAATTAACCAATCTAATGTTGTATATGTTTTCTTGACAGACGTAAACGAATGCGCCCAGAATAATGGCGGTTGCCAACACATGTGTCGGAATACAGACGGAGATTTCACGTGTCACTGTCCAACTGGCTTCAAACTGCACACCAACCGAAAGGACTGTGTGTGTAAGTGCACTACTTCCCGTAACGACGCACGCACGTGGATACCAAGCATTTCATTCCATGTCTTCAGAAAGTATTTCTGTTTGGTTATAAACCCTTAGTTCTAAAATATCAATATCAGGACCATGTTCCATCTTTGTAAATGGCATTGACTAGCAGACTCTCGAGTCGGAAGGATAAGATAGTAGCCTGGCAGGTTACAACACTTTATATTGATATATCATTGAAATCTTAAATTGGAAGTATGATTTTTTTAATCTATTCAGTGCGCCATTTTACTTAAACTGTATATTCGTGCCAAAGCAAGCGAGAACTTTACAAAAACAAGCAAGGAAATTATCAGTAAAATACAAAATAAGGAAACACATATTTCAGTCGATGCAAAAAGCAAAAATAAAGTAAACACTAATGAATCACCGGTGGTACCAAAAAAATAGGAATGAATCCATGTATGAGGCCTTCAGAAACATGTCGACATACCGAAAAGGGAAAATATGCATATTACTATTTTTATAATTCAACAATTCAACAACGTTTTGTTAAATAACATGTTGGCATGAATAGTGTTCGGCTACAAGATAACGTCCAACCTCGGTAGGAGATAGTTAACCTACATGCTGGCAAATAGTTACAGATTCGTATAATTGTGAACTCGTGATTTACCATAAAACATGATAAATGTATAATATCTTCAAAGAACGTGTAACTTTAACATGATATCATATGAATATTTCTGATTTAGCTGACCAGACTTGTCTTCCCCTTCGTGCACCTGCCAAATCGACAATGACGTGTGTCCAGCAGGATGGTGACCAGGTATGCACAGTGAGGTGTGACGCGCGAACTTATCCCACTAGCCCTAAGGAGGAGAACGTATACAGATGTGGAGCTAGCACGGGCTATGATTGGTTACATCGGCTTTTGAATCAGACGTTATCATCGTGTTCAGGTAATGAATCAAAACATCAACACGTTTGAATTAATCTGTTTCGAAGACAATCCGGAATTTACACCAGATTCGCATTAAAATCGCGTTCAGGGCACATATTCATGAAACCGCTCTCTTAATCAAGCATGGATTCTGTGCTCAAACTAATTTTCTTATAACTTGCTTAAATCATTTGATATGCACAAAAAGTCAAATGCAGACATTAAAACCGGTTTTTGGTTTCAGTCTTTTAAAGTTCTTCCTGATCGTTGACAAATATTGGTTTTTATTAATCTATCCTCGCAGCAAGATATTTGGCTTGAGCACATAATCTGAGTTTGCACACAGTTTCATGAATACAGGCCTAGGTTGTTTTGCCACACATACAAAAACGTATTCTGTGAATCAAATGTTATTGACATTTTTCAGTTACTAATATCAATGATATCAAACTCCCATATTATTTTATATCCTTTACATAACTTGCATAATATTTTTCAGAATCGGCTGAGGTCCCCGTTATTAAGAAAACGGCAAGAATTTTATTCATGGCGAGCAAATGTCGAGTTCGGCGGAGCATTCGGGAAGAGGTTCGACGGAATATAACTGCTCAGTTAGGTATGAAGTGTATCTGTTTCTGTATCCTGTCACCTTTTACGCCATCGATGTATCTTTTAACCCTTTCACCCCTATGTAACTTTAGTAGACTCTACCTTGCATTGAAATGGATGAGCCTATTATGTTCTACAATGGAGAAAGGGTTAATATAAGGTTAATGGAACCAACAATTTAAACTACATTCTTTCCAATATAATGTATCATTACATGTATTGTAAAATATGCGTTTAAGACCTTCTAAAAAAATATTTAATAAACATAACATGTTTCCAGGTATTTGACAGAATGATAGTTGTTCAAAATGTTAATGGTTGACAACAGAAATAAAAAACAAAAACAAAAAACCAAGAAAACTGCAGGGGTTGAATTCGGAACCTTTACGTTACAAAGCCCACACTTCACCAATGTTGTCATACAGTAATAATACAATAACAGCATCAAAATCAATGTTAATACTTGACAAGGGATGTTCCTCTAAGTCTTAACTCCGTTACGTGCTTCATCGTTTATATATAGCACTCCGTGTCAAACAACCTCTGAGTGAAACTCTTCTTCGCAACTAAAATTGATACGTTGGTACCCTTAACCCTAAACATCAGAACGCTACGTTGTAAATACATCATGATAATATGTATCATAATCACCATTATCATCTCATTAGGAAGTATATTTTCTTATGAATATCGACGTTTTTCATTATAATGCTAAATAACCCTTTCACCACTGTAGACCATAATGGGCTCATCCAGATCAATGCATGGGAGAGTCTACTAAAGTTTATAGGGGTGAAAGGGTTAAAGTGCATTTTGGTGTCGTTGACACTACTCCGGTCCTCACTTTGAGTACGTGATGTTGTTTGGAGTTGCAGAAGACACTAGACCTTCCACTTAGGCCCGTATTTATACAATTGTTCTTATGCTCATAATTACATTCTGTGCTCAACTTCAATTTCTTTTCCGGCAACAAATTAATAAATTTGTTCAAAGACAAAGAAGAATTTGGAGAGACTTAGAGCAAAAATATCTTTACAATGTTCCCTCTTGACTTTTTGATTTTTTACATGATTTAAGTGAGATATAAAATTGGAAATTTTGTAAACAGAATCCATGCATGAGCATGGGAACGGTTTCATTAATATGGGACCTGGTCTTGATCGCTTGAACTTTTTCAAGGGTCTCCGTGCAAAACTTATCTTTATTCATACTTTGCCGTAGTTTTATAGGTTCTCTGCTCGAATTTCGGTTGTATATACACTTTTTTTAACAGAGCTGAAGAAGTACCGTTGTCGTCGTAAATGCAGTGTTAGCTCCGTCAACATTGACTGTGATACCCGGAAGTCACGCCGACTGGTCCAAGACCTCAAGGGGGCGCTCGTGGCGGCGGATATAGAAATAGAAGTGGCTCCATTAAAAACGAAAAGTAAGGCTATCTTACATATTTTGGTAAAATTTCAACAATAACAGCGAAGCTCAATTTCGTTACCATAATAATATATAACCGAGTATGTAACTTTTGTTTTAATGTTATATATGTAAATATTTGTATCATAATTTGTTTTTGTTTTGCAGAAAAATGTGATTATAAATGTACAAAAAAACGGACAGAACGACGAATGAAGAAGTTATTAAAGAAAATAAAGAAGTTCATCAATAAATCTCAGTTTGTTGTGAGGTGAGCACATCAGTTTTTGACACCGTAGTCGGGTAAATATAATGTTTTTAATGATAGTGAGGAGAACCAAAATATTACCATTCTCGAGTTATTTAATCATAACATGTATGAACATCGAAAATCATTTTATCTTACATCTAAAAAGCAAAACGTAAGACAATTTTAAAACTAAGAATGCTCATTTGTATTTGGTTTTCGCTGAACAGACGTTTTGTATGTTCAAAAGTTACTCCTTAATACGTAGAAAAAGACCTTTTTGAATGTGATCTCACATTGCTTGATCTAATTTTTACGTAATGTTTATTTGATATAATGTTTTTACAGTTACGACGGAGAAGGCCGTGTGGTAATTAGAAAGTCGTTCAAATACAAAAAGGCTGTAGCATATGTATGTCCCGAAGGCAAAGTGATGGCTGGTGACCAGTGTGGTACGTATATGTCCGTCTTGTTATGTCCCCCGAACGAGTTTTAGGGTGTATGGCCTTTGGTGAGTTTTATTTAAAGGTCCGAATACGAAACTAGGGAGTTCTTTTTTCTTCTGATTATTTTTATCCCGCAAATGCTTTCTTGATTTTTCTCAGAAACTACTGCACGAATACTTTTGAAACTTCACATGAGCATTGATGGAAATGTGCAGATTTGCGTAGCATGTTTTCTAATTTTTCAATCTGTCATCAGACATGGCCGTTGTGGCCTGTAATTTATTGACACAATTTAAGGTGTACGCCAAGGTGATGCAAACTCTCTATGTCTAATTTTGAAAGGTGTATATGGAATTGTACGTTTTTACAAATGCAACATTTGCGACTGCGGAGCATTTTCAGGGAGTTATGGAACGATCCCCGTTACAATTCAGTCTTCGTCATTCATGTATTATTGCTGTTAATAATTTTGTATGTGTTCTTTCTAATTCTCCAAAGTTTTCAAATACTCAAACTATTTTAAACTCAAATATGTCAAAGTATATTATTGACTTATATTGTTTTGATTGCATGTTAAAACTACTTATTGTTACAATTTGATTCCATGACATGTTATGGTTGTAGTTGCCTGCAGCATTGGGTCGTACTTTAAGCGGAAGTTATCAGTGTGTGTACCGTGCTCAAGAGGGACATATCAGGACCAGGAAGGACAGCATTCCTGTGTGAAGTGTCCCCGACGTATCCCTGGTGTCGGCATCCTTGGAGCTAAAAATGTAATGGAGTGTACAGGTAAGATGCCGATTGAAAAAGAAGACACAAAAAGGTTGATACAACATTGTCTTAGAACCATTGCAATATCAAATGAATACGTATAAAATGCTAGCCAATTTGATACTCATACTTGGTTATTGGAACAATGCTGTTTTACCTGGATTGTTACAGCATTAAACTGCTTTCAATTAGCAATCATAAACAATATAAAAGCCAACTGGACAGAGGCATATTTAATGAAGCGCGTCAGTGCTTCATGTCGGGTTTGGCTCCGTCATGTTGGCATTCATAATGCCTATGAATGCCAACTGGAAGCAGTTTAATGCTTACATTTACCATTTTGTAATCTGTTAATCTCGTAGAAAATCTTATTACACTCATGATTCATATTAAACATTTAGTTCGAATAATTTATTTATCGCATATGCTTATTCAAAGAAGAAAACAACCATTTATCCAGGGAAGGTCATATGTATCTGAGATAACAATCATGACGTCATAGGAATGATGACGTGTAAAATCGGCTAATGGCTTTCATAATACATAAGAATGCCATCTTAAGTTAGTAGGGTTATAACCTACATCGTGATATGTATCTTTGATCGCTGTGTTTACCTATAATGTTACAGTATTATGTGAGCCCGGAACTTTCTCCCATGATGGCCTCAAACCCTGTACTCCTTGCCAAGCAGGAACGTACGGACCGGAATACGGACGCACATCCTGTTTCCCATGCGGAGGAGGATTGACCACAAATGGCAATGGCGCTTCCACATTTGCGGAATGTTCTCCAAGAGGTTCATTTGTTAATAACCCACATCAATTTGTGAACAATTTCTACTAATATACCCCCTTTTATGCTGTATATGGTATATATTATCATGTGAATAATATATTATATGTAATACTTTGATATACTTTTTTTTTACCAAATTGTAGGCAGAGTATTAAATATATTATTCGTGTTGTTTTGTAGGGACCTACTTTATTATGAACAAGTGTTAATAAGTGTATTGATACCTAGCGGCACGTTTTAAATCAGTCATCTAGTTTTGTAATTATAAAGTAGCACGATAACGGTCGTCAACTTCCAATGATTGATTTGAAATGTTGTTGCATTTTATGAATGTTCATGGTGTTACAATATGTTAACATTTTGCGTTTATGTAATTGTAGTTACGTGCTCCCCTGGTCATTTCTATAATGTCCAGACCCACACGTGCCAGCAATGTCCAGTTGCAAGCTATCAGCCTGATTCGGGCCAAACCTTTTGCAACGCATGCCCAGGCTCCACCATCACGGATTCCCCAGCAACGACCAACAGTTCCGAATGTAAAGGTTCGTTCGAACAGATTTAAAGTATACTCTTGGTATGAAAAGATCAAAACGAGCCGCATTAACAGCATCAAGTTCTATATTTATGTATTTCTCGATGTACTTTACTATGGTATTTATTAGCATTATTTTTTCATTTTCAAGTGTGTATTGCAAATGACAGTTGTTAACTTTCCCTTTCTTGCGAGTAGCATCCCTATTCCCCGTCAAATGTTCCTAAAATGTCTCAATTGATTTGGTATTAAAGAGCTTGCTATTAACTTGACTTTTGCCACAACTACAGCGTATATCTAATACTGTAAAAAATGGAAATTTTACGATCTGGATTTGTTCACGTTTTTCTCATTGAGTAAGCACGAATTTATCTACAGGCGGATTTTTTTTATTAAAAGATTATATGAATTTAGGACATGTTGAATGTTTAGAATTCTGACCATCGCCAACTAAAAGATTCCTCACTGCGTTCAGTTTAAAGAGTCGTATCGAAAACATTTTCCACTCTTACAGTAACTGGAAGTGACATATTAACCTAATTATATGGCATGTTACAGATGCAACGTGCGGGGGTACGATTGGTCGGTTACAGGGATTCATACAGAGTCCTAACTATCCTGGGCATTACCCCAACGATATTGAATGTGTGTGGAGGATTAAACCTAGTAAAAAACGCCGGATACTCGTCATCATACCAGAGGTATTTCTGCCGAGAGAAGACCAATGTGGCGACAGCCTCGTTATGAGAAAGTCAAGTAAGTTTTTCAGCTTCTTACTGCTATAAACATGGTCCCTGACCTAATCTGTCAAAACAAAAGGGTCTTCATCTAATTCTAAAATAAACATGACATGGTCCTTACCAGGTGGAAGTAACAAGTAGCGTAGCCAGCGGCACAACAAAACAAAAATGTTTAACATCAACATAGTACTTTAGGTCATTCCGAATACCACAGTCAAATATGGTCCTACGGACCAATTTAACTCATTTTATTACATTTTTGACAGTGAAATATCAGATTCTATCAACTTGATAAAACTGATATCTTTCACACTGCGACAAATATCAAAAGTGATATTTTCACAGCTGCGCACTCGTGAAAAATATCAAAATATAGGCCACACTCGTGAAATATATTTGTTATTACTGACACCATTACATATTCTCTATATAATCTTAATCAACAACACAGTATGTTCTTTGTAAACAACATAAAGTTTTATGATATTAAAAAAACACCTCAGTATGGTCCTTAAAAACATCCTTAAATTTCATTTCAATCATCACGAATAACACAACGTTATAATGTATTATGATTATGACAAATGTCATTAGAAAACTGCAGTTTTGCCTCTCATTACTTGTCACTAAATAACAAATATGAAATAATAAGTTTTATCAACTTATATCAATGCAAGTTGATGGCCCGGATGGAAGCGCACGGGAGGTCTGTATGTGGGAGGATACTGGAGTACCCCTAAAAAACCCACGTGGCCCGCAGATAACCTTCAACTTTTCACAATAAATCCTGAATCAAAACCCGTTCGTCATGGTGAATGGCGAGTGCGCTTTCCACTACACCACCAACCACCTATTAACCTGGTAATATGATTATGTGAACATACACATGTTTATAATATCAGTAATGTTATTATGTTGTTACAGAGAAGGCGTCGTCATTGACAACGTATGAGGCGTGCGAGAGTACCGAGAAGCCGATAGCATTTACCTCACAAACGCACAGACTTTGGATTAAGTTTAAATCAGACGGTCAGAACTCGGCAGCCGGATTCTCCATTCCATTCGTTACATATAATGGTAGGTATCCGCATTGGCACAATCTGGGGCCCGTCTTGAATCATCCAGAAAAAAATTGCTGCGAAACGTCTTTTAAGCTCATTGCTCTTTGTGCTTTCATATATCAGGTTATTTACGCGTCATCCATTTGGCGAGTTTGTTCGAAATCCAAACATATGACGTAAGCCAGGCTAGATTCAAACCTTGGCCCTTGATCGCTTACCAACTGTGCTACCTACCTAACAGCGGAAGTTCCCTGACCCATAACCTCTCCATTTATATCCAAAACGAAATTAAGGGCAGGTAATTACTGTATTATGAAACCCTACAGAGGACTCGAGTATTTTGCCTGCAGCGTGAAAATATCCGTAACTTATACGACATTAATTATCTTCGTACACAAAAAAGTAAGACACATACGGATTTTCATTTTTGTATGTATTATATTTTTTCTGTTGATATTTTACCAGAGGATTACCAGCAATTAATAGAGGATATAGTCCGAGACGGAAGGCTGTATGATTCCTACCAGCACCAGTCGATTCTCAAGGTCAGTTAAACACATATATCCTACTGGTAAATACATTAGTTTTACAAATTACGTATGTTTGATAAAGCTACTAAACTTAGCAGCCTATACTACTGACGAACAGAAGGAATCATCCAACTTTTAAACTACTTTACTGCTTTCATTGCATTTAACATGCCTTTCAATTTTATTATATTCTATAACTGAATAAGCATACGTAAAATTACATAAAAAACTATAATTCTTGATCTTGATGGGGTTTTACACTGCTTAAAAGACTGTTAACAGTAATTGACTCTCTATAAAAAATATCTAAAGCACTTAAAACAAATCATTCATAATATGTAAAAAAAAAAAAAAAAAAAAAAAAAAAAGGACCAATATCCAATTGTAGAGGCAACACTCGTTATGAACACAACGATAGGTGTAACCAAACATTTTTTAATTGGAGACAGGACCCACCTGGCTTTTAATCATTTACCTTATCCTATGCATTGAAATGTATTCTAGAAGTAAAGCAACGTCTAGATTAAATATTTGTTGCTAACGCTATACCTAATGCAAAAAGGTCGAAAACGAGCGAAGACCACATATATTTATTGAGATATAGATGTTAATGTTGATGAAATTGGTCCAATCTGTTGATATGTTAAGGAAAGCGAACAAAGACTTTTGTTTGTGGGTGTGTGATATTTATTCTCAATACGAGACAGTAAACCCTCTTAATATCCTTTACATTTTTAATCTAGATGCTCTGTTGCATAACTTCACCATTTATTGTCCTAAAATGTTTAGTCTGTTCTGTTGACAGGACAGAAAGATGCTGAGTGTACTGATGGAGGTGATAGCCCAACCTTACCACTACTTCAAATACGCTAACGCGTCTCGCACGATGATGCCAGAGTCTTTTATAAAACTTTTGACATCTAAGGTTACTCGGTTCCTGAGCACCTAATTGCTCACAGATTAAATACGTGCTGTAGTGTCGTTTGTACGGGATAAAGACCTACAATTATAACAGGAGAGGCAGGTACCGCTTTACGAGTCGCAAGAATCGAGGAAGGTACCAAGGTGAAAGTCGCAGGATGTGAGGATTGGAAAGTACCACTTTGGGAATCACGATCGGTGAGGGAAAGGTACCACTTTGGGACTAGTTACCATGAAGACATTTGTTCACTTTGTGTATATGGATCAGGACTTAATAAAGACATCGAGTTGCTTTCTTTAAAAAGATAATTTGGAAGAGGAGGTTCCGAACGTGATGTGGTAGTTCGTTTGAGGATTTTTTGTTGGATCTTCCTTTCCATGATGTAAATACTCGTACCTTCTAAAGGATATGTCAGTCGATTGATGTTGTAACAGGCGACTCCGTGGAGACAGAGTAGATCAAAATTTGTTAATATATACCGAAACCGCACTTTGTAAGACAAAGGAAGGTTTTATACGTGTTGTTTACCGATTGTAGGTTATAAACCAGTAACCAGGATGGTTTGGAAGATGTATCAATGGAGAACATGTTTCATTCGTCAAATCTGTTTAACAACGTATTTCTTTGGACGATATCTATCACCATGGAAACAAGAAAGTTGTAATTGATTGCAGTCAGATGGACGAAGTGCAATAATTTGTTGTGTTGTGTTGGACCGAAGCGAAGACTCTGATGGCCGTGCACGTCCCTCTAGAACTGTTCTTTATGGATCGATTGGATCTATGAATTGGTTTGCTCTATGCCATTACAAAGTGCTGCATATAAAGATGCTCTAGAATATTGCTTTTAACAAACATAGTGTTTTGAAATAGTTATATAACAAAGAATTATGGTTTTTGGATGAACTCGTCAAGACATCAATCTACAGACTATTTCTCTTCTGATGTACAACGTAGTAACACAATAGATATTTGTGTAGTGTATTTACAACAAAGAAGTATATGTGTGCTAGTTCTGTACTAGAAACGTAAGATGCTAATTTTCCAATGTTAACTACAATTTCGGTTTTGCGTAACCTAATAACGTTTCCTCATTACAATGGATATGAGAAGGATGCATATATTGAGAAGAAAATTAACTCAAATCATAAAGTAACAATATTGGTTATTTTACAGCGAAGATTTTTATTCTCCTACAGGGCCATCATTATTTGGATTTTCTCTTTTTCTAACAATTTTTGCTATCATTAAGATTCATGACAAGTTACATGTTGATATTCCGAAAGATCACATTCAGACAAACCACGTGATAAACAGTTTAAAAAAGTCGTGATGAAAAATATTTTAGCGCAATATGAGGATATGTGGTTAGCTATTGGTCAATATATCAGGTTTTTGAAGAGGTTTTTAAAGAAAAAGCCTTAAAGGTAAGTATGATAACGATCATGTCATTTTAATTCTTTATTTGTTTTGATAATGATGAATCAAAACATTGAAAGCTTAAACACAAAGGCGTTGTTCTGTTTCTTAGGTTCAAGTATAATATGATCAAATTCGCGACGTTTTATCTAGACTTTGCACCCTAAACGCATTTAAGATTTTCAGAATTATGTATGTTTAATTTTTTTATACATATATTCAAAACTCAAGCTGCACAAATCTGGGTAAATATTGGTATACATGTTAGAAACATCTCTTTTGTCAGAAAAGAGACCGTAATGGCGGCAGTTCATACACGGTTGGGTTGTTTTGAATTGCGTTTACGCTTTCCTAGATTGGATTAGCCATATCATATCGAACTCGAGGTATTTGTTGTATTGTTTTAATTTATTTCACTTTTGTGAGTTGAACTTTCAGTGTTAAATGTTAACAAATAGGTGTAATTTTTGTATCATTATATCATTGCTATGCTGCGTCATTTGCTGTTTTTTTCTAATTTATGTGCATATACTATATATGTGTATATTTTGAATATAGACTAACTGTATACTGCTCCTACAGAAAAAAAACTGAGAATACGTTTTTATTATACGTTTATTATTCTGCTTACGGGATACACACTACTGTTGTCAGGTAAGCTTTTTATCAATAAATGTTTTGGTAGCCAATGACTAAAATAATAATTTATAATCGTCAACATTTGTATACAGTTTAAAATTACCGCCACATGTAATGTCCACAATGAAGGTAGAATAGAGAAATTTTAACGTTTGAACTAAATATCTTCTGTGTTGAGGTAAAGCCAGTTTCTGTTGTTTTCATTCATTAATTTTAACTTATGTATTTCTGTTTGTATACATATTATGTGCATATATAGAGAGATATTTAATATTGTTAGATATGTATGCTATCACTGTGGTACAACAGGAGCAGTTATGGTCAAAATGGCCATGACTTGTACAAATTAACATTTATTTCCTTTAGGTGCTTTCCAAGTAGTAGGTAGAAAACTAAGGCGTCAATAATAGTGCGTTGTTTATGGTTATGTAATAAACATGTAACTATGTCGCATCGACTTAATGTAAATCCTTGAGATAGAAATTTCATATTCAAAATGACATAAACCTACTCTTCATAATAAATGCTTGTCAAGAGTTTAATATTGTTTTTGTTTATATTTATCTATTTATCGGAAATGAGTTATTTCTTTGATTGGTATTATCATAAGTCAGTTTGTTATCGCATCACATGTTGACAAAGCGTAAATTCTGTCTACCGCTTGATAGGTTGCCTGTTTTTTGGTTTTTTTTATTGTTTCTATTTCTGTTCTTGGTATTCCGTCTTTGCGTATTGCAGAGTTGTCTTCTCTTGTGAGCAGGGATTGATTGTTACGTCATTGGTTTGTGTGAGAAAATTACGTCGTTTTCTCAGAAATTGATGACGTTACTCTCACAAACAAATGACGTAACAATCAATACCTGCTCACAAGAGAAGATAAATCTGCAATACGAAAAGACGGAATTGTAAGTCTTCGAAGTTTGCTTTAACCTTGATGGTAACAGTTATCTCTTTTGAATATTAGCATGGTTTATAATCTACACACTTCACAAGTATTTAATTAAAAATTTAATTAAATTTAAATTCATAAATTAAGAGTTTTACGCACGTACCCCTCTGTTTCAACAGTAGTTAAGGCAATTAGGATATCAAACGTTTTTAGCCCTAGCATCATTGCCATATGATGCCGTGAGGTACCAACAAGAAAAACTATATTATAACCTTTGTCACTATTCGAAATATCTGTTTAAGTCCTTCTAAAAAGAAATATTCCATAAAAACTACTTGTCGTCATGCATTTTACAGAATTATGCTTGTTCGTGATATTTTGGGGGAAACTACAAATCAACCACAACATGTAGGGCTCGAACTTCGGACCTTATCATTGAAAATTGTACACTCTTACAACTGTGTGGTATCGATGAACATATATCTACAATATCTATAAAGTATAATCTAATGTATCAGATGTAACATATTTTCTATATGATGAGGGTTTTTTGGAGCCTTCCTTCCTATCTTAAGTGCGAGAAAGTTAGCCCTCATATATTGCTATGGACGGGTTAACCGCTGACAAATGTAATGAATAGCGATTCGATTAATCTCCATTAAATAAATAATAATTTGAGAATATGCTGTAAGCTACAGTGTTGTTAACAAACAATGCATGTACCTATCAAGGTTATATTTGAACAAAGTCTGATATTTAAGAATTATAACTAGTTTTAAATACCAAAACCAATGATTAAATATAATTGATGTGGTTGTGTATTCAGACAAGTGAAAAAGATCGTGTTGATTCTCAGGGGAACTATCTTACATGCGTATATTATTTATATTGTCTGATATAACCATTTCTAGCATTTCATTAACTAGGTTATGAGGTATGTTAGGGTGAATTTGTCATTGTATAAGACTATTTAGAGGTAGGCAACTGTTACAGTTCTAGAAATATTTGAAAAATCGTAAAGTATTGACATTTAACGGGTTAGATACCTTATGCACATGTCCCAAAACCTAACAAGTTATCTCCCCTTTGCTGTTAAATCCGGGTTTATGGCATATTAGATAGTAAAGCTTTTGGCCACTGGTTCCTTTTTGTAAAACAGCAGTAAACATAGAAATAAAAAGGTTAAAAAGCTTACCTCTCTCAGCCTTTAATCATACTGAACTTTAATGCTTAGGAATAATTATACATTATTTGAAGTGCATAAATGGCCTATGGGAGCTATGAGATAATGAATCCACCTGTCGTTTGTCTGTAAGCTGACATGTTTAAGCTGTTGCCTAATCTTAGCGTTTTTCGCACTTAAAATATTGCGCTAAATTATGAGTGCGAATATAATGTTTATTGTTTTCTATTGTATATAATGCCGATCCGCGAATTATCTGTATAAATCGATAATGCGGTAAAATTTGAGTACTCTTAAATACGTATGTTAACAGTGTGTGGTTATATACTTATAATTTCAGTTAAAGTATATAGTTCATTTATTATTGAGACAATGACGTTATCAAACCAAAGAAAAAAACTTATGTGTAACAAACACTTTTTACCATTACTAATATGACATTTTTATTATGAAATGAGAATACATATTTCTTGAAATTGAACAAAGAAATGCGGTAGGAACAAGCTGTTGTAAAATCTTGTGGTGAGGAATGACACCACCCTTATCAAGTAATGGATAATCGTGGTCTGTTATATCATCATGTGTCTAGTTGTAATATGTTATGGCTAGCGACATTTGTTATAGCCCGTTAAGACGTCTATAGGCTAGAAATGCCCTCATGTAGTCTACAATGTATAACGGCGTCTTCAGGCCGTAACAGAAAAATGTAATGTAATGTTAAAACACTTTTAAAGCAAGTGATTTCGATTCTGTATTACATGAAATGTTCGTTGATTTTGGGGAAGCTTTGCAAACGCGAACATAAACACAACGAAAAATAAGTGATATACTTGATTACATGAGTTATCCACGAATGCTTGTACCACGAAGTGATCTTAATAGCTTGAAACCACGAAGGGAAGTACCCACCACTATTTCATGTTATTCAGCAACTCTTAATGTAGATAACAGGTTTGTGGATGAACATATCATTATTCTCACCGTACATCAAGTTATTCAGTCGAAATATTAAGTTTGCGAAAGGGTTATAAATTCGTGTTCGATTTTTCGCATTTTCGTCTCCATGTTAAGCTTATGACTTAGGTTAGTGGCATGTGATAAGAAGTTAACGTTTTATTTTCGCAGTATCGTTTTCGAATAAAGCGAAAATTATACACTCGCACAAACCTGCCAAATATACGTATGCACTGCATTAGCTTTCATTACTGGACGACTAGCGATCACATTCACGTGAATACGAAACACATAAGCATGAAATATTCTGCCACGTGAACTGAATTCCTTTAATATGAGTGGAAGTAGGTTCACACAGCTCTAATTTTTCAAACGTCATTTTTTTTAAAACTACTGTTATTGTATTACGTATTTGTGCTTACAAAGTAATATTCATTGTATCATTATCTTCCGTAATTCATTTAATTTTGTCGCAAGAGTCATGAGCACATCTTAGTATAATGCACCACATTTACATATCTGGGATGAAAAACACTATCTCTGAGCTGAATATTTACGAACACTTTCTCCATGGCCAGTTGTAAACACGGGACACAACTAACAAGCTTGCACTGCCGCGATTTTTTCTGTGAGATATAAACACTCTCTCTTCTGAGCTGAACTTTTACGAACACTTATTCCATGGCCAGTTGCACACACAGGGACACATCTTACATTCGAGATGGATACATTTATCTTTCTAGCATGCACTACCTCAATTTATACATCTAGGCTTGGTATTATTCGTAAACAGTATCCTTGGCCATTTGCACAAACAGGATGCATCTTATAAACATGCGATACTTCGTATTTTATTTCTAAGCGGCAAAATCGTGAACATGAATCATATCTCCAATGTCAGGTGCACACACAGGCGCTCACCTTACACGCATGCTCTACTCTCCATGATTAGCTTTACATTGAAACATTTCTCGGACCATGTAGGGTACATTCCAAAATGTCAAAAAAATGAATCAAGTGAACCCACCTATATTTAATCTTGCTTATTTTAACTTCTACCAGCAAGCACTTGTGTTCTGGGTTTTTTTAAAGACATAGTAACGCGGATGTCACTCTGTCATTCATAAAATTGTCTCAGCAAATATGTGCACGATATATCCGTTACGTGCGAGCACTTCCGACACGTATACCTCTTGTGAATATTCTTCGTCTAGGGCTTCCTACAGAAGACTGAAACAAGAGGAGATAACTCTTGAGTACCACAAGCACATATAATGTAATGTTTGCTCTTTTCAAATATTAGATTGAAAGTTCATCTTTGTTAGTTGATAAATAGTTCATGTGTAAAACAACATAAGAATCCACAACCTCAGCAAAAGCAAAAACTATTACTTTAAATATGAGGTCACTTTTTGTGCGTCTTTGGATTCCAAGACAGGAATAAAACAGCGGGAAATATCGTTTGAATTCAACGACACATTCAAGGTACTATTTACTGTCTGAGCTATAACTATTACAGTAAAACTATAGGCTAGCTTCTTTTGTCCTTTTTAATGCATTACGAAGTAATAAAATTGAAATGATTTTCAAAGAGAGGTGAACACACGTAATTCATCAATGATTCATGTAACAGAACCAGATACAAATTAGTGTATTCTTCTTTATTTCTTTTGATCATTCGTACTTACCCTAAACAATTGTCGGCTAGCATCGTTGTTGTTTGTCCGATAGGCATCATCTGTCGAAACAAAACCATAAACGTAATTCCCAATCAGAAAATTATAACACCTTCTCCTTACATAAGGTCAATGTTTTCCCAAAAGATCACAGTAATAGCAATAAGAAAAAGCTTAACGTTTCATTTTAAAGAATCTTTAAATCAAATTATCTTCAAGGATGATCGTCGCCATGTTTAACGGTCATGGCATATTTACTACAAACTGGTTTTATGATTACATCATATGTCAAGGATTTAAAAAATGAACTAATTACTTATTGTTTCGACGTACATATTTTAATTTAAGTGAATGTGATTGCATGTTATATTCTCTTAAGAGATTATTGGTAACGAGGTTTCCTATATACCCGATATTTGAAAGAAAAAATGTCTTTTTTTCCATCACTCATTTTTATATTTTAGCAGAAATCGTATGGTCTTTCAAAAGTTTTGCAGGCGATTTAAAAAATAATAATTAGTTTTTCTGTGGATTTGTTACAAACCACCCGGGAAACATTTTATTTAAATAAAAAAACAACAAAAAAACAACAACATACAAACAAACAAAAACATGATTGAAAAGTCTTCCATCTTTAAGTTTAATGAGTTTCACCATTACTTGCATTATCATATCAAACAATACGCATGTTGCTGTTAAAATTCACAACTTTAAAACCAAGTTCAAATACTTTGACAGGGAAATTGACTCTTAGTCTTTTTTATGATCCGTTTTATATTCAGAAAAGCGAATATTCATCGAAATTTGGAAAGCAACGGAAAAAGTAAAATATGGAAAATATGTTTTTTCAAATATACGAACTTTAAAGTAAAAATGCTTGGCAAAAGTGCTTACTTGCAACGGACCGTACAGTAGACTTCGGTGTAAGCGTCTGTCTGAAGTTGAACTGAAATTTAAAAAAGAAAAAAAAAACATGAAATATCAGAGGTACTGAAACAAACTTACGCGTAAATAAGAGCGTTTATATAAACTAGTTCATTGTCCATTAAGTCCGTCGCTACCCTTAATTGAGTTATGTCGCAAATAGAAAAAGTCACAATTGCACGTTCTTGAGTTATTAACAGTTTATCGGCATCACGCCCTACTGAAGATTATAGGTTTAGGATTACAGACAGTACCCGAACTGTCTTCTGGTTGTAGTCAAAATGTCTGCCGGTATCATTCTAATTGTTTCCCTATTGTGGCCAGTATCTCCAAGTGTATATAAAGTGCCTCCCTCTCCTCCACAGCTTATCTCGCTTTTGTATCTCACGACTCTGGATATTTCCCTAAAATTGTTTCCAGGATTAGTTTGGTTTGGTTGTAATTTGTTTAACGTCCTATTAACAGCTAAGGTAAATTAATGACGTGCCTCCATGTGTGTAATGTATGCATGCTTGAGAGTATGTGTGCTGGAGGCGGGGCATGCAGATGTATTTGCCTCCTTGCGATAATGCTGATCTGATGCCAACTTTAATGTTCTACATCACTGAAATACCAGGCCGAAGGCACCCAGTACAGTATTCCACCCGGTCACATAATAATAACAACGGATAAACCAGTTGCTGTGATAACCCTAAATGCTAAACGTGAAGCAGGGATTAACAACTACCATTTAAAGACTTTGATACATTGTATGTACCGGCCTGGGGACAGAACCCATAGCCTACCGAACCTGGGCAAATGCTCACCACTAATGCCAGAAGTGACGTATAGCCAAGCAAGGCACTAGGAAACAAAAGCGTATGATTGATCTGTTACTCTTTGATAAACCGACGGATCAAACAGAGTGGAAGTTAGCATGGCACCTTAGCTTTATCTAGATAAATGTTATTGGATACATTCAAGTTAAATTGAAAAAATGGAATATTGAAAATATGCATGTTTTCAAGAAACAAACACGAGAAACACACTTTGATTTCCAACAAAAACATTTGTGGTTGGATTTGTCAAACACTAAAGTGCACCGCTATTTTTTTAAATAACGTTGCAATTTGATTGTTTGTAAACTTGACAAGAATCGCCACTAGAATCAAAGGTTCGTTGCCAATTATACTGCATCATAACCACTTATATTTCATAAAATATATATAATGCAACTTTATGCAATATATGTATCACATAAGTGTTATATAGAGAAACCATTATACACGTGAATAGATCATTTGAAGCACTATCGTCAGTATTTGTGAGAAATGAACTGTTTTACAATAAATGCTGTTTTCGTATCCTTCCTTGCTATACCTACACGGTCATCCCTGCCAAAGTAAAACCTGAGTTCCGTCATCATCCTGTCTCTGATGTCCAGACTGATGGATGGCCGAGTTGAACTTGCACGTAATGGCATCACAGATATAGACGGCGTGGATGATCGGACAGACCGCGTACGTGAAGAGCTGGCGGACATTGTTCGGAGGTTAAAGGTCGTCTCGTGTAACACTGGTGACGAGCATGTGCGATAGCACACTGTGACGTCTCTTAGGTACTGCGGCTCCATGACGTCACCTGCACGTTGAAAGGAACCAGTCGTTTAATAATATAAACATATTTGAATATAACACCATATGTCACTACCCATATATCCTCTTTCTGCAGAACTAGCTGGAAAAATTCGATTATTCACCATCAAAAACCATTGGAAGTATTTGAAGATATGTTGAAACTGTTAAAAAATGAAATTCAAGACTAATATGCTGATTTAACAACTAATCATCATTAAATTCCAGTCACCGGTCACTATGTATTTTACATTTGAGCTAAGGAGCAAAAGCCAAAATATCTTTTGAATCAAAGACACCATATCACAATAACTATGAAATAAATTTGAATGAGAATATTTTATGTATATGAACTAAAATACCTTCCTGGCGTCTAATTACAACCAATAAATGTCAGATTATCAGGAATAATTGTGAAGTTGTATGGTGTGTATAATTCAGTTTTGCTTTTGTTTTGTTTTTGCGTTTTTCTTCGATTCTGATCTACAACTCTTTAAACGTATTTCAAGTAACAGAAGTGCTGTTTACTGCGCAGAAGTAAAACAAGACAAGTATTTATCATAGCATGACCATACATTGACAACACGAGGAAATAAACAGAAACCAAAACAAAAGACAGCCGGAAGTTCCACAAGCAATGGGAAGTTAATCTAAACGTTCCGGAAGGGTAAGTTTAAATTGCACCAGATGCGGTATATGTTGTGTCCTCTTTTGAATTAGTTTAAATTTTATTTGAAACTACATTAGATTTATGAAAATGACGTCATGCTGATTTGAAAAGATAATGTAGTTTAAAATATCTTACATGTATGTAGAAACCCCTTGTTAGTGGTTAATTAGTAATCTTTTCGGTAATTATTATACATTGTATTTGGAACATGGAGAAGTGATCATGTATGGTAATTTAAATTATTAAATTTCATTATATTTAAATGTAAGTAAGTTGCGACTGTACAGATGGAAATTCTACTGGTATGAAAACGCTAGCGTTTTACGTCGAATATAATAGAGCAAAATTATCCATACACACACATATTTATATAGATATTAGAATTTGCCGGAGCGAAATTTTCCACACAGCAATCAGTTTTATAATGAGTCACAACGGGAACATGTCTATCATTTACAGTATTTTGTGCAGCTACATGTATATCCGCCACTGATTGCATATATTTCAATTTAGAACTCCAAAAAGAGATAATGTTCTACTACCTACGAAATGAAATGAAATAGATATTAAAAATTATCACAATTCTTAATTGTTTATAGTAAAGTGACCATCATCATCATCATCATCATCATCATCATCATCATCATCATCATCATGTATGTAAAGGTGAAGATATAAAACTGGGAATTCAGGTATCAGGCATTTTCGGATATCAGAAGGTAACCGAGATACCATGGGGACTTGAATTATTTGATATTGAAGGAAAGAACATAATCAATATATCTAACCGTGAAGGGTCGGGCAGGTAAATAGGTAAATTCTCGCCCCGGACTGAAGTGAACCAATTTGACTCTGTAAGGGGTAATATATCGTACTACGCCATATCTATGTAAGGCACAGTACAATGAAGGATTGTTTGCCTCACTGTATAACACGGGAAATTATATGCCAATTATAATTACATATACGTCAGTATTGAAGACATACGTCTTTATAATAGAACACAAATGTTATTAAAACCCAAGGTGAGGCAGTGTAAATATTTAATCGAATCCGTTAAAACACTTCACTTATAACTGTATGGTTTGTATTAAGGTCTAAACAAACAAATGAGGCACTATTTTTTTTAAATCTGGATATTTAAAAATAACATGAAGTATGACAAAAGAGAAGTACCCTGTCGTGATCATACTACACCTATATACGTATGTGATATACGTATACAAATGAAACAAAACATATATGCACACATTGTTTCTAAATATTTAGCAAGTTTAAGTTTCTTATGATAATAATAATAATAAATATTGTTTTGTGGTTTATTTCTTTGTCTCGATAAAGGAGCGGATTGCTCCGACAATTTGACAACATCATATAGTTTACACTGTAAGAATTACTTCCTTGCCTCCAATAGTAATAAACATATATATAAGTTGAAACTACCCATTCTCTACCTTACATGCAGAACGTTACATCAGTCCTTTTATACATATAAACAATAAGTTCCATCATCCCTAGCCAGTGAAACAATGAATTCCATCATTTCTAGCTAGTGGTACATTCCCGCTAATACAGTAAAACAATACAGTTCATTACCTGTAACTAGACGAACAATAAATACCACCATTCCAATGAACAAACATCCCATTACTAACAGTCAAAGCATTAATATGTGTCATCAGTCATACAATGCAAGAAGTGCAACAATAGGGATAATCAATCCACGTCATAGTTTATCTATTAACAAAAATGCTGTGTTAAATAACATCACAAGCTGTTTCTTTACGAAACATCCAAACCTTCATAACTGGATACGATTTATATTCATACTCCTGATTTAATACTGAAATAAATATTACACGCGAAATTAAAACAAAATATCTTCGATTTAACATAAATCATATGTAATTTCTTTCAATTTAAAAGAAGTCTTAAACGTTTAACTTTTTCTATGAAACTCTAATGTTTGCATGTGAATCAGTATTTGTCAAAAGTACAGGTATATCTATGTAACTGTAATATAACATGAGCATTTTAGTTCAAAACATCCGCTTACTTACCTTGGTATACTTTTGATAATGGTCCGCAATCGATCTTGTTCACCCCAAGCTGTTGATTTTCAGCAAATCATACCGATCAAATCTTCGTGTACGTTCCAGATAGCACATAACATAGGACTGGTCCTTTTTGGTGTCGAATCATCCAAATCAAACCACAAACATTGTCCTCGGCAAACTCTAACTGAACCACACCTGGAAAACAACCTCGAACCACAGCTGAAAAATCTCGATCAACTCTCTCTAGACTATGCCAAGTCAATATTATGGTTGAGGCGATAGTTCGGTCCTGGCGTGTAAAGGATATTGCCAAATAAACCTGATTGTCAGCTTTGTCAGACTCGAATGTGATTTTCACGGCTTTGCGTTTTAACCAGATCGGGTTCTTTTCACTTATAATGACATTTTGACCCTGGCATTCATCGTAGTCTTGTTATGCTATAATTGCCCCGTAGTTTTCCGTGATTCATTTTAAACCTAGTATAACGAGTGGCTGTGTTTACATAATGCCTAATATATCCGCATGAATAGGTGGGTTTTGTCACCTTTAAATATCACCCCGCTATCCGTCAAAACAATGTAAGCTTTTCTACTTAGGACTGAACAACTCAATTTTAAAGACGGTAATACACCGTCGGTTGCGAGTATTTATCGGATCGTCAAATCACTTACTACAAACAAAACCAAAAACTACACGTATCGAGATTATATTATTTAAACGACATTTCTAGTTAATTTTATTGTTTTTCCTATTTAATTGTAGGTAAGTTGATATTTTAAATCTGATATCAATTGCGTATTTTAATTAAGAAACGTATCAATTATCAAAAAAAAAAAAAAACATTTTCATACACTGTAGTAATAAAAGGGAAAATACTCACGAATCAACCTTTCAGGGGAAAAGAATGGAATTATAACTAAACAAACCACGTGTTAGATCAATATAGTAGGATGTAGGTTTCTATCAGAAACTTCTCTTTTCCATTCTAAACAATCAGATGCAGAAAGACAAACAAAATTGGATTTTTTCCAATAATATTACAATTGAAAACGCTTTGGCTTAAAAATCAGTTATTTGTATTAGGTATTCCATATAAACCACGACAGCATTTATAAATGATTTCTTTCATATGTGCCTCTGTAACATTCTGTTCATTACTATTTTTGGAGGTAGATGTTTTGTTTAATATTATAATGTGTTGAATCGTATTGTTGTTCATGATTATATGGATTTACATACGTTTCAAAAACAAACATAGACATTTATTACTCGAACTTAATTCATAACTTGACACGAATAGCTATAAAAAGTTGAACTGAGAAATAGTGTTTGAACTAAATTAAATCAATTTTTATTTCTGGTGGGTTAAACATATAATCTGTTTAGCTATACAGGTATTCAGGCTTCTGTACGTGGTGCGAGTCGGTAGCTCAATATACATGATAGATTTGGCGTTATTTATAATGTACTTCATTCAAGGGCAGCTTATCGCCGGATTAGTTGTTGTTCAGTGTGATATATAGCAGGGAATAAAATGTTATTAAAAATCCAATAGAAAAGAGCTACTCAAAAGTGTATGGCGTGTAGCAATGGCGGCCCCAGAGATCGAGCTTGTTTATTTATCCTAAATTTCATGGTCAGGGGAGGGTTAAAAAGAAAGTTACAAGATGTGTTGGTGAAGGGGGAGAGTTAATGTGTGTCAGAGTGTGTGTTTATGTCAGAGTGTGTGTTTGTGTCAGAGTGTGTGTTTGTGTCAGAGTGTGTGTTTGTAACGCGAGGTGAATGTTGCCAGGATGTCATAAATAACATAGCAACTGTAAACTTATGCTGTAGCCTTATAATTCGTTAGTCACCGAACAACTTATAAACAGGAAGGAGATATTGCTTGTTACTGTATAGGGATTATTTCAACCTTATTAAAAACAATATTAATAGACAATCTAAGCAAATATGCATAATATTTTAATTCAACAATGTTTTCTTTTAAACAGGATCTACGAAAGACAGACCTTTTCGTTTGCATTGAATTACGGTTCAAAATGCATATTATATGATATATATAAATCAATGAACAATATTGTATTTGTTACAACTACAAAAACGCGATGAAAGGGAGATAAATCTTATATGTTTGCCTTCATTTACTGAAATATTTAATTGTATGGAATCATCTATTGTTAAGTTGATATGAATTAAAATTTCAATAGATGCATGTATATAGAAATAAGGAACAATAAACTGGTATCAACTCATTTGCGGTCGTTTTTTTGAATATTGACTTAAAACTTCATGCCTTAAAAACTGACAGAAACATTCAAGCAGTATGTTATAATGAATCAATCTCAATGTATGTAAGTGACATTTGAATTATACCGCATTGAGCTGTCTTATCTGGCTCTAAAGGCTAGTCAGCTTTTTCCATGGTGTTTCGTCCGTCGTCCGACGTTCGGCTTTCAACATGAGCCTTGGTTTTAAAAGACTGCTTGTCACTAACGGTAGTTCAAATCGGAAGTAGTTCGCAGGGATTAAATTTCGCGCAATGTTGCACGGTAAACAATGGCAAGTGTTTTATGATAGCAATGTAAAATCCTTTACTTAATCAGTGTTTAATCGTCATTATTTGGCATTAAAAAATGTAAATAGGTCTTTTTTTCTGCTGGTATATCCATGGTATTAATATTCGCCTGGTATTTAATTTCGCGGTATCTTTCGTGAACGCGAATAATGCAAAACTAAATCCCCCGCGAAAATGAGCAAATATGGAATTTTTCTCGAAGCTGTCAATGAAATCCTCAAGTCAATACAGATACAACTTATATTTTATTCAGTCAGGATTACACGATTTTGACCACAAAACTGTTCATAATATGTACATTCAGACTTATCCTAATTTGTAGGGATATTTATTAGACTGTAAGGGTTTATATCAACAATTAAAACAATGCGATCACCAAATGATGCTTCAAGCCTGTGCATATTAAAGTGTTATTTCTTAGATGCTGTGTAGTTCGACAGGTGGCTTGAGACACAGAAAAGGTGTGGAATAAGGGACGGAAACGTACATAGCAGATTGAAAGAGAAGCGACAACATCTACATGTATGTGGATGCCAAGCAATTTTCTACTACCAAAAGAATTGTGAATTTTGAAACCTGCAAGTTGGTTTGGGTTACATGTTCTTACTTTGAAGGCTTTTTCCATTTAAGCATATAGCATCATTCGGGGATGACATTAGTACCGGGTTTGATATAAACCGGTAAAAGATCTAATAATGCCCACTTCACATCAGGCTTGATCCAAAAAACATCTTGTCAGTTGTTCTCAGGTCATGTTGCTGACACACCAATCAAATTTCTAATTTACAAAAGCATCAGCCGATTGTCAGCATTCTCAAGTGATCTATAAAGATCACAAAAAGACGATAAAAGACCAAAAACTTCACATTATGTATCTATTATTGACATGTTGATAACAAACAGGACCGGTTGAACATTTCGAAAAAACGTGTCCGGGGCGCAAGGTTCTCGAATCAAACAGCTAAAAGTACAAATTGGAAGATAATGAACGGCATGTATTGGTAGAAGTTTAAACAGATGATTAATTTTTATGCTTGTCAGTTAGTGTTACTAACAGATCAAACACGACTACCGACTGTTACATGGGTATGACTTCAAAAATCAGACACTCGCAGGATATTCACATTCATGAATAATTGGGCGTACATTGAAGGACATGAAAGCAAATTAAAAAAAAAAAATCATAAATAGATTTTATTTATTTCATATTTCAATTCAGTTTGTTCGGATTCCAATGAACAGGGTTGAAGGACTTGTTAAACACAAATTATAGAAGTGTTTAAAAAAACATAAGTCTTTGAGCTTATCGTTGATAAACTACATGTGATATACATTTGAGATACATAACGATTTACTATTATTTAATATTAAAGTTTCGCTATATGCACAAACAATGTACGTATTGAACATGTCACAACGTTTCAATGCCGACTGGTCCCTTTGTAAAGCTAGAAACGTTGCGACACGTTTAATACACACATTGTTCATGTAGAAAGTAAAACTCTGATATTACATATCTCTAAACTGAGGAATCTTATTGAAAGTACAAAATACAATTTAATCTTTAACTTAAGCCTGTCATGACTAGTTAACGACATTTTGTTGAAGATGTTTCTTAATTCTCATAACTTTAACTCCCAAAGTATCCCCCGCTGGTTGCTTAACATTTTCTGACTGACCTATAGCCAAAGATCGAATTATTATTATCAAAGTACATGCTAGCAACCTAAAATAGCCGTATGAAGGTAGTTATTTCCCTTGATGTTGCTCTTTATTTCAGATGCTTGGAATACTATATGGCGGGCACGAATCTTATATCATGATTCTGTTTGCCGATCCTGGAGCCGCCTTGGCTTATTAAACCTTTTTTCTACTAACGTTTCCGATTTACCTTCGTTGGTAGATTGACTATTCTGGCTATTTAACCTCTGTCACTTTCCTCCGATTACTAATATTTTCTGATTGAAGGCATTAAACCAGGAAATTGGTCAACTGATCAAACTTTGAGAAAGAATATCTGTATTGAACACTTTGGACACCGGTGGCTTGTTTAACAGTGTTTTGGATTAAGCATTTAGAACTGCAACATTCCCACGACTACAAAGTGACTATGATTATTAATGTTTATTTACTGCGGGACAGACCGCAGTTGTAACGGTTGTATACACCTGGGACCAAAACATGATTTTATCAATATAATAATAATATACTTATCAAAATAAGCATTAAACATTATCGCAAAAACCTTGCAAAAGTGATATTCATTGGCGACATATATACAAATGCTACTTTAACCGACCGAATTATCTGTTGTTGCCGACTTACCTCCCTTGAGTTACTTACCAGTCTCGCAGTGTGTTCCTATGTAGCCCTCGCTACATTCACAGAAGGTGTGAGTACCATCGGGGAAACAGGAACCTCCATTCAAACAGGGTGAATGTGCACACGGGTTATCGTAGTCTGAGAATCACAAACCAATAAACAGTATTAATATATGCATGCAATACTTTTGACTCAAACTCCTTTATACGTAACAGAAAGAATAGGTAAATTCGAGAATTTCATCACGCCGTAATCAAGTAGTAAGGGATCATATTGCCTCTATTTCTCCATCGTGAAGCAATTTTGCTTGAACTATTACAAAGTCAATTAGTTTCGTCTTTTTACTGAAATCGATATTAGAACATTCCGTTCAATGAAAAAAACTCACTTTTTTTTTCAATTGATGACATTTTAAAACGCACATTAACAAAAAGATAAATGCATATATTAACATAATATTATTATATCGCTGTTAGACATCCTTTCTATTAGTAATATAGACTCTGCCCTGAGTTAAGGAGTCTGGACGATTGAATCTGATCGATTGCATCTGATAGTTAATAAGTACTACAATGCTACATACCGAATCTGAGGCCCAAAGCCGCCCCTTGCACGTCGTGAATGATCGTTGGAGGGATGGCGTACCCTCCACATCCGCCCATATGGAGTTCAAAGAAAAAGAAAAATTCTGGAGGCAAGTACCTAGGCTTTGGGATATCGTGAGCATGGGTGATCCAGTCGTGCATTAACGTGGAGTCACAGCATCTGCCATAATTGATTGGCAGGTGGTCGTTATGGTTAAAGTAAAAAGCAAAGTAGCTGTTCGGATTGCTATCGCAGTTTGTGAACAGATAGTCTACACCATTTACCCTGTACCCCTGTTGATTTCGATTTTGCGCCACACTGACCGGCAGGAAACCCAAGTAGAGATAGGGCGCCATCTGCTGGTGGTTGTATGGGTTGGCATATCCAGCATGTGTGTTGTACTGGAAGGATAGAGGGATCTTGCTGTAAGTTGAAATCTGTTCCATTTTCGATTCTTTTTGAATTCCCACCACGTTAATGTGACGTATCATCGCATGCGCCGTGGAGGTATACAGATCGGCGATGTCGACTTGTACTGATGTGGTGTTGATAACGTAGGTGTAGCCGTAATCGGCGTAGAAATCACAGTAAACCGTGAATGGCTCCTGCTTCCGGTTCATGATCTCGTAGACACCGCTTACGCTATGAGGGTTGTTAGCATATATTTCCTTGCAAGAATCTAAAACGACAGTTATTATTCACATAGGGCATCGTGTTCTGCACAATCAAATTATTTCTTATAAACATGTATATATATCAAATGAATTAATGAATGCTGATGAGGTTAAAGGAAGGATGGTGAACCGACAAATAAATTCCGTAAGCATAACGTCTTTTTTCGTAAATTTCCGTCACATATTTCAGAAATAATGTATATTTATTGTGATTGATTTATATATTTAATATATAATACGATGTTTCTGTTTAGTAAAATATTACATGAATAGTATCATATATTAAAGGGTTTAAATATCATATGATACATGTATTAGATTCATGTATCTTATATAACAATATGGCATTTCTATATATATAGTAAAAGATATAGGTCAAAGAAGTAATGTAGACGGTCAAATCTCATATAACACTGAGATAGATATATTATCTATAACACGGTAACATATGCGTATCTAATAATACAATTTATATTCATCAAGAAAGCGATGTCGATATATTTTGGTTGACTTACTTACGGAAGAGACCCTGCACTACAACCAGCATACATGATACCGTGAACAGTAGAGTATACATAGCTTTGGACTGAAACATTCGTAAACACAACATAAAGAAAATCAAAAAACAATATTGGTTGTTTTAACATTATCTTTATTTCAACTATGAGTGAATCATGAGCAAAAATGATTAAAAATCCAGCATATTTCAAGTCGCTTTAGGCATTGCTATTTAAAAACAACAAAAAAGAATTGCATACAGATGAGGGAAAATATGTGCTAGATTACAGGTTTTTCGAGCTGCAAGCCCTCAGGATAAATCGAAACAATTTTTTGTCTGGTGATTAACACAGGTTGTTTGCATTGGAGAATAATAAAATCTATTACCTGTAACTGAGCGAGATCGGGTTATCTCAGTCGAGGGTTAAGATTCTGTACCAAAATCTTAACCGAGGCGTAAGCAGAGGTTGGGGTGTTACAGAATCCTAACCCTATCTTGCTCCGTTACAGGCAATTGATTTTTTTCTCGCATCTTTTCGTTCGAAAAAAATGTTTTGCTAAAAACCTCAAATGATAATGACCTCTTCACTACTTAAGCTACATTTGAATAATTCCGCGTAAAAAATGCTGTCCGTTCTTACATAGATGACAACGTATTTCACTGTACAACATCAACTATCTAACAACATCAAAACTATACATATAACAACAACACAGAATATTTATAACGCAGATTGTCAATTTCAAGCAGTTAACGCGCGGATGAATACATCGCAGTGTAAAATTCCGCGAAAGATCTACGAGATAGAAAATCTAGCATGGGGTATGACGTGGGATATCTCTGTCTGAGGTGCGAGAAGAGGTTCATGTAGCACAACCAGTCAGTTCATTGTTTATGTTTTTGATAACTTGCACTGTATGAAGAACTTACATACAATAAAGTTAATTAGTAGTGATATAATCATTTCAGCTGTATCATTATGTACAAATGTAAACGATTTTATGATACTATATTTACAATTTGCATGGCATTGTCACTATATAGCCTTTTTGAAAGCTGTGTCGTTGATCGTCTGCTGGATAACCGATACATCCGGTAGTGAAGCGGACGTAAAACCTATCAATCAATCAATCAATCTGTGTCGTTGATGGGACTTTAATTACCATGCATCACGAGACACAATTCTTAGCGTATTAATACACTCTGACCGGAACTACAATATCGAATATAAATAAACATGACGGCTGCTGAAATATCGCTGGGCATTGTGAGATTTGACAATGTCATTGAAAATTTATGTGCAAAATAAAAAACAAAAAAAAAACAAAAAAAAACCACTTTTATTACAACGAAAACAAGACCAAGGTCTGCAATATCGTACAAAATGCACATCGTTTGAAATCACCGATGCCGGCAATGGAAACAATTTTAACGCTCATGCAATTTATCAGAAATATCGTCTGTTACACTGCACTGATCAACAGGGGTTCGTTACAAATGTCTGAAATGCACATATTCTATAGACCTACTGACACATATGTTACACATCTACTGATATGAGTCACAGCACACATAAACATTTCAGACATTTGGAACGAACCTTTGCTCCGTCGCAAGATCACTCACTTCAAACGCTATCAGTTTCACGCGTCTCGCATCCACGGTCCCTCAGTTTCTAACGACATGTCAAATAACGACGCTGTTATAGAATCTACCGACTGTTGTCAGGTTCCAATACAATCAACAAATAAATTCACGCCTGGATTCTTCACAAAATGAGCAAAGAGAAAAGTACGAATTAACTTCAAAATTCGAAACAATTTCAAATCTAAGTTTCAACTCAGAGTTCTATTGAATCTTAAATCACCATATAGACATATCATACGCAATTGTATTGATACTAAATTGTGGAATAAAAATTGAAGTGTTTGTTAAAATTTCAAAGTACTTCTTTGTTTGCCAATCAGCACGCGACAATACGCTGTTCAAACTATTGAACGAAATTGTGTGGACTGTCGATAAGGCGGGCATTTTTAATTTTAAATATAAATTTTAAGTTAAAAAAGAACATAAGAGGCAGAGAAAACGCGGATTATGTTATTTTCTTGCAAAGCTGTGTCATCATACAAAAACAGTTCAATGCTTAAGTATTACATGTATATAAAAACACAAAATACTGTGTTTCTGTTTAGTTTTCGCCTCCGGACAATACATTTACTGTACTTACCATTGTCTTAGTCATAAGTGACATACATCAGCCTATCGAGTGTAAACCTACACAAATGAACATGTCTTATCTCATTAATGACTAGTGCGAGAGATAAACGTCCTTACACAATTATTGACCCCTAGAGTCATTATCAGGGTTAGGTTATAACGTTTCCTTTGTTTTTCTGAACGGTTTTTAATACTTAATACTCCTTGAAAAAATCACATAACAATTTCATATCGTAAATTTGTTTTATATCTAAGTTTGTATACGCCTCAAGCATAACCGAATCAACGGCAATGTTCTTGCCAACTCGGCGTACTTTATACCTTAGTGTACGTGAGATTAACTCGTCTGACGAAAATGATAGAGCACCTAACATTCTACTCATCGTTACGTCAAACACGATTATTCCATTTGCTGTGCTGCATTGTACATAACCTTGTAGAGATAGTTTCTGTAAGCATAAGTCCAATGTATGTATGATAAAAACATTGATATCGGACATCCAGTTTCCGGTATCCGGACCTGCAAGACCCAGACAGGATGGATATACACTACTTGTAGACATCCACTGACCGGAAGCAGACGGACACTGTGTTATGATTGATCTTACGTCTATGCATACAGTCGATGCATCTACAAATGAAGATGATTAACTACTTAAATACCAATGGCACCTTCACACCATTCTACAATATCATACTCACTCATTCATTTGTTAGACAAATAGCCATTACAACTTTTGGGTTTCAATTGATATTGTAGATTATGATAAACATATGTTATCAATATGACGCTTATTTCAATGGGACAAATCGATTCGGCTCTGCTTCTTTTCTTTTTTTTACATAATCATAAAAATGCGAACTTGCCCACTGCATTGAATCTTGATGACTTCATCTATCTATCGCCTGATAGAATGTTCTCTTTTGCCAATACTATTCGAGTCAACAACATTAGATTTTTCTGTAGCTTGATTTATGATTGTTGATCTAATTATCTGGTAATCTGAATGCCACCGTCCATGCCTTGCCGATTCAATTGTCATTTCGTACATTTTTAACAACTTATAAGTGTTTATACGCTGATAGTATTGCCTATCAAATGAATATTTTCTTGCCAACTCGTTATACTTTACTCCTTAGTGTGCAAACGATGACGGTGTACAGAGTACATAAAGCTCATCGAAATATCACGCATGAACATTACATTGGCGGTGATATATGAACCTGCATATGATGTTTATATGATGTTGTTGTTTTTTGCATTATGACAACGTTGACATCAACCATCCTGTTTCCGGTATCTGACCTACAAGACACAGACAGGATGGTGATACACAAACTGTTTACAACCCTGACCGGAAGCAGACGGATACAGTGTCATCGACTTAACCTCTAAGTATACAGCCGATGCACCTTCAAATGAAGATGATTAGCTAAAACAAATACTTCAGCCCTTGTAGAAATGGCGTCAACAGACTTATCACCCTAAGTTATTCCATGCATTTTGTAAACTGAGATACCCAGTGACCGGCACCCTGTGTAGTTGTTTAAATTATCCTTAATACTGAAATTTGTGCAACTGGACAAAAGTACAAAACTAAAACTAAAAGTGAGGTGCTGCCAAGAAAGGTGCAAGGAAACAAAAGGAAGTAGAGCGAACTATAAATGTCCTGTATGGTGCAATGGCTGCATACAATATAAGAATGTTTTTGATCACTTTGGTCCCTCTAGGCACAAATGGCAACCACCAATTCTTCAAGGGTTCCAACATTAGTTGTTTCAAACAACATACAGTGGCAAGGCATGTGTATGTTTTCTCAATTTTAAGTACGCATGCAATTTAAAATTGTGCCTTAACATTTAAAAAAAAATCAAAATCATATACAGAATATATAGGTATTTAAATGGATAAGTATGTTTATTATTTCTACTTTTCATACATTTGGTTTCACAACTGCATCGCAACTTCCTATGTTCGTAGCAATTTACCAACTTATTGCACCAATTATGGTGTGTCTAGTTTGTCACGTGACAGTTAGGAGAGATATCCTAACATTTCCTCGCTAAATCAGGCCAGTGCCCCACATTATCGGTATCTTTCGAGGAAACAAATTGTAAATACACATTGAGCATACATTAGAACTGACGAAAAGGGCACTACATTGTTCTGTATGCTTAGTAAAAGCTTGAATTCAGTACAAAGATTACGCAATAACTTTACTCCTTAGTGTGCAAACGATGACTGTGTACAGAGTACATAAAGCTCATCGAAATATCACGCATGAACATTACATTGGCGAAACATAGGCACTGAAATGACAATAGTTAGAAATGACAATTGAATCGGCAAGGCATGGACGGTGGCATTCAGATTACCAAATAATAAGATCAACAATCATAAATCAAGCTACAGAAAAATCTAATGTAATAATGTACAAAGATTACGCAATAACGTTTGCATCAGGTTTTTTAAGAATGTACACCTATACTTATTGGGTCAATTTATGGAGCAAGTTTTAACTTACATTTATTAATGCTGAAATTCCTTTATCGGCAGGCGTCATAGTAAATAATACAAACATAGATAAATTAATCTATTAGACGGTGTTTCTTTCATTTTCTGACAAGCTATCCCTGGATCAAGGTACGAGTCTCTTGCCACTCCAGTTAAATGTGTAATTGTTTACGCCAAAAATATTCTGTCCTCGTCCCCCGAGCGATATTGTGAACAATGTGTTATTCTTGTTGTCTATTGCTTGATATCATTTGACATTGTAATTAATAAAACGAACACAAGCTTTGAAAACATAAACAAAAACATTCGAGTGTTAGCCACTGCACATAACCCTAAAAATAACCCTAACGAAAACAGATCGGGAAGCAACATTATCTTCCGTGCATAATGATAACCCTACGGAAGTATCTTTATAGTTTGACAGGCATACGGATGTGTTCGATAATAATAATAATATACAGCATTTATATAGCGCCCCATATAAGTTGTAAAATTACTCTAAGGCGTTTTACAACATATGGATAATAGTCATGGTTATAATTGTGAAAACAAACAACAAAGGCTTGCAATCACTTCCATACATTTAACAAGCAATGTGCACATAATTGAACAAATAAAAGGGTGGTATTTACATGACGTCTTTGCAAAGATTCTAAAATGCAGACGTGAAGAGGTGAGTTTTTATGTCCCTCTTGAACTTGACCAGGGTATTTGACTTCCTAATAGCAGATGGTAAGCTATTCCACAACGTAGCCGAAACCCTCCCAAAGCATCTGTTTCCGTAGGTCACAGTACTAGATTTTGGGACACACAACAAAGATTCTCCCTCCGACCGCAGTGATCTTGACGGCTGATACAGGGTAACAAGTTCATGTAGGTACTGAGGAACTGTTCCATTCAGTGCCTTGTATGTGTATACCAGAATTTTGTACTGCGACCTGTATCGTACAGGTAACCAGTGCAACGATAGCTTTATTTAAAGAAACAATTCGGTTTGACCTCGTCCATTTTCTAAAATTATTTTGTATTAGTTTCATTCATATGCTTGGTAACTTACACAACACTTATGTTTCATACAAATGGATTTTAGCAGCAGCATATTTTTAACGCATTAGTTGTACTTAAGGTAAAAGGTTCTGCCACAAAAAAATATAGGTTGTCAGAATTTGAAAAGATTTTAAATGGAAATTTATGTAAAAGGAGTGAACTTTGAAAAAAACAACTACAATTGTTTGCAAAATAATGTCAAAAAAAATGATAGTGACATAGATTAGTATTGTATTAGTGTTTATTACATACTTACTAATAAATACTTTTTTCATGTATATGCGATACGACACAATTGCTCTAACCCATATCAGCCCTCGCCGTATCACACCCCAAAACCCGTATCAGCCCCCGCCGTATCACACCCCAAAACCCGTATCAGCCCGCAAAACCCATATCACATCGTTTTGGAAAAAAAATGTTTTTTTTTTGAATTTTTAAAAAACTTAAAATAAATCATAAGATAGAAGTTTTTATTAGTAAGTATGTAATAAACAGAATAAAACACGCCTTTTTCCATATAACACCCAGTATCAACCCTCGACCAATATCAGCCCTCGGGCCTTCGGCCCTTGGGCTGATATTGCAGTCTCGGGTTGATACTGGGTGTGATATGGAAAAAGGCATGTATTATTCTCTATATATAAATTGAATAAATGCTGAAATTGTGTAAAATAAATTATCTATAAACGATTAAAAATTAACATTTTATAATAAAACCATATACACATAGTAATTGCATGCAAGAGTTATCTTTCTTGAAAAACTTCACAGTAGTGAAATAGGTAGCCGTTTTCCTGAAGTATAGAAAAATGGACACATGTGACTCATTGACAAAAAAAACCTGAATTAATGCCTGGATTGCTTTGATATACTTTAATATTGAGAGAACACACTGTTCTGTCAATAATAATCATTCAATATTCATCAGTTTAAGATAAAACATTAAGATATGGGGAATTTGTGATACTGTCTCCCTACATTGGATTTTCAACTAGGGATGTACTTCCTATTTCCGTTTATCAATACACTCATTCGACCTTAAATCACTTTGCAACATTACAACTATGTCTCAATACATGTGTATCACAAATGTAGTTTAGTAATTAGCTCCGTAATATCCCACACCTTCCGTTAAATTGTCGTAGGCATTAGATCAGCAATATAACTTGGCATGTTCGTTTAAAATGTATATATTGCGTTGCTGTTTATTGATATACGCACTTTATTAACCTGATCAGTTTAGGAGACATTTTACTAATACCACGAGAATGGATAAGGCATTTTATTTCTACCATGTCACCTCTAAAGCAATCAGAACTAGACTTACAACAACAAAGGCACTGGTTCCACAGATCCACAGCCCAAGGTCTGAGTGGATGTGGCTCTTGGACTCAAAGTACAAGAATAAGATTCCTAAGGGGGTCTGGTTCTGCTCCACACTTTACAACGGTGGCCTGCCAACCATCTCCCCGTATGGTACAGAGCGAGTCAGGATGCCCATTGAAAAGGTTTTGGGCCAACTTGGTGGAGGTTTTAGCCTATATCATGCCAGGGACGCTCAGGTGCAAGCAAACACTTATGTCCGACTCATGGTAGTAAAGGATGGAGATGACTTTGATTGTTTAGAATACATGGAAAAAATTAATCCCAGAAAAAATGACTGGCTGCAGCTTGTTTCAAATTCGGAGTTTAAAGTTGCCAAACGACCAAAATGGGTGGAAATATATTATCCCTATGAAGTTGATATTACAGACGGCGAATGGGATAGTTTGGACTAGTAAGTATTGATAGCAATCATCTAAAAAAACAAAAACATACCCATTTTAATTTTAACATAAAAACCAGAAAATGTATTATTACACTAAACTTGTGTGCATTTGCAGTTTAATTTTTTAGTAATAATGATTTCAGAATGGATTTCAGAACATTGTAATTGATAAACTCTTGTTTTTACAAATGTTAAAGGTGATATTGTTCTTCTCACAAAAGGAAGTAGTTGCAGATCGAACTTATTTTATTTTTTTGGCTGCGAATCTTTATTTATTTCATTTTTACTAGTGTTATTTTTTTCTCTTTTCTGTCTATCAAATTCGATAATTCTTATATTGTATGCACCCATTGCACCATATAGGACAGTTATAGATCTCTCTACTTCTTTATGTTTCCTTGAACCTTTCTTGGTAGCACCTCACTTTAAGTCTTAGTTTTATACTTTTGTCCAGTTTGGCAAATTTCAGTATTAAGGATAATTCAAACACTGGTTAACCCGTTGTCAGCATAATTTGACTGGATGGAGTAGCACAGGGTGTCTTTCACTGGGTATTTCAGTTTGCAAAATGCATGGAATAACTTAGGGTGATATCTTTTTTGCCTTATCTATAGTTTAGAACTATCTTCGAAATCATACTCATTGTTTAATCGAAAAAAAAGCTAACCTTTCACTGATCAAGAAATTTGCTGAGCAAACCGTGCATACTAGCATTAACGACAAATCGTACATACAAGAACTAACGAAAATAGGGCTCCCTTGTTAAGGAATAAAAAATAACCTAATACATTTATAAACGAAAAGTGAGACAACAACTTCAAACTATTTCAATTAGGTATAGAATAAGTCCGTATGAAAAATGTTCATATATTAATTCTTGTATTTAAGAAATTGTATTGATAACCCGTGACGTGTGATATTTGCATGTATCCTTATGTGCACAATACTCCTTTTTCAAAATATGTTATGCATCACACTGAATACTCATGCTTTAAATGTAAATGGATTAAAGTTAATTGATTGCCAATTCAGAAGTAGAGAACATCAACGATAAATTACTTCTGGATAAAAATCGATCTTAAATTGAAATAGAGAGTGTTTTAGTAATGAAAGAGGAATATTTGCACATTGAATTCAATTAAACATCTTCAATTTTCTTACAAAATTGTTCGAAAATGTATTCTCTTCATTATTTCATATTAAAGGTCACCGACAATACATGTTGGATGACGTCATAACATTTCTAAGCAGACGACAGCAATATTGACGACGACAACGATGACGATGATGGCGACGACGAGAATTGGATATCCTTTTAATGAAACACTAAGAGCCTCTGTTATCTTATATCTACCCACACGTATATGTATTTTAACAATTGATATGTAAATATGTCAGATATGTGTAACCTCTTGTGTAGATATGCATTCAACTTGAAACATGAACTATTCATACAGACAAAATGGTGTTTTTATCTTAACGATACAAATACGATTTTTTCTGAAAGCTATGATAAATTACATTCCTACTTTCGTTATTTGTTATTTATTGTTAACCCGAATGTACCTAATTAAAAACGATTATTTCAACAAGACTGCATTGTACACGCTAAATTTTAATTGTATATCCATATATATTTAAAATAAAATATTCAAATGCATTGGTTTTGTGTTTTGTCTGAGTCACTGCTAATTATATATTTTCCTATTTGTTATTCCAATATAACCATGTACTTTGGGCTACTCTTTGAAATCTTCCGAAAATATTTGTTGAATCAGAGATTTATTTATAGCATCTGTTGGGGGAGCTTTGCTTGCATTACTCTCTCAAGCTACAGTTTAGTGAAACTATAATGTAATCGTTTTTTTATTTTATTTATGTCGGGTCAGTTGATAAGCTATCAATTTCAGTATGTGCTTTATAAATGCATACCCTTACTTGTTCTTGTCAGCTTGGCTGTAATATTGGTCACCAATTCTCTAGCGTAAACAAAAAAATAGAGGTTTTTTTTTAAATCATTTTCAAAAAACACGGTAATTGATTTTTTAATTTTAGATTTAAGATATCAACGGATTTCGTATGTGTGAAAACATTCTGTAACACGTTTGTTTATATCTGGTTTTTCTGACATACTATATTATTGTTTAGTTCTATATCTGATTAATTCAAATACCTGTATAACAATATATTAAAAGGTGTATTACGTTTTGGTTTGGTTTGGTATGGTACCTGACGACTGTCCTACGTAGGCCTTTAAACCTGCGACCCATTGATGGAGGACCAGTGGTAGCAGAATGCCAGACGCTTTAACCACATGGCCACGGCATTACCGTATTACTCTGCATATATTACAAAATTTAATGGAAGTTTGAAGTAAAGTTTTTAGTCTTGTGCCCCAATGTATGAGTGAATATGACGAGGAAGGTCGAGTCACTTCAGAATACTGTTATTCCCCCATCCTCCCTCTTATTCTGTTAAACAATTGTTGCTAAGACGATCACGAAGATATCGTAAAGACGTACTTTATATATCTGTTCCTTTCATCTATTTATTTTAAACAGTTGTATAACAATCTATTGAAGGTTGTTATGTTTTCCGTGGGTTACATCTGGAGGTGTGAAGGAAAGTTATTAATCGCTTGTACCCTGTTGATTGATTAGATGAGGCAAGATAAGATTGGGCTGCTTTGTTGCCCTATGGTTTCTTACTTTACTGAAATGCTCAAATACAAATGAATGTTTGACGAATTGTATTTCAGGTCTAGTTGCAATGGCACCGAATTTCGAAAACCGGTGTGATATACTGTCCAATTTTTTTTTTTAATAATTTCGTTTTGGTCGTGTGTCAATAAGTATTTGATGCAAATGTTAAGACTTAGCAGTTGATGAAAAAGTACTTATTAAGTCCCGGCGGATGGAAATATCAATTCATGTCCAGAGAAAATTTCTTAAAATAGTTAGGAAGAAAAATAAAAAATAAAGTACACAGAGTTGCGATATTGGTGTGTCTTTACAGTAAAATTTAGGAAATGATTATTCTATTTATCAATACCATAAGTTCTAGCTATGTTTTAGACAAGAATGTTTATTTTTAAATGACAATTTAGGATCATATTCGTTAAAGACAAAATAAACAACAAAATAATGTGAAACATACAGTGAATATAAAAATAAATTCAAGTGAAAAATGTTCCAAACGTTGTACGGGTTATTTCTGTTTAACAGGTATGTGCCTCACAGCATTGAGTATCACTACTGTACTACTGCACTGGATCTCAGTGGTATGGGCATAGGTTCATACAGAATTTGGACGAAGTATGGAACCTAAATGAACATTTTAATTGTCTGTAATTCATTAGTTAGTTCACTTTTTAAATTGTTTTCAAATGTTCAGTATTTTCATTTAACACTTTAAGCAATTATGTAGTAAATTATGCATGGGAGAAAATCTCTGCAATATAATGATGCAATTCCCTATCCTTGCTTACTGCATATAATACACCAGTAAACAATACACAGATTAGTAAAAATAGAAGCAGAAACATAAAAAAAAATCAAACGAAAACAAAACTCGATCAAGACAAAAAAAATCATAATATAAGAATACTTTAGGAGTTGTTAAACTCGAACAACTTGCATTAGTCGAATCTCCGTTTATATTAATACATAAACTGATTCATGACTGTCTAGTGATATACAAGAGGACATGATAATGGGTTTGAGATGGTGATATTTCTTTTTTCAAATATTAAAATTGTTAGAAAACTGTTTTGGTTTATAGTCTATATTTTACAAATGCGACGTGTCGCCACAGTGGCGTCCTCATAGTATCTTATATTGTTCTTTACGTTTGAAGTCGACTAGCAGTTTATATTTCAAGCTAATGTGAACCAAAAGGAAACACAATGAATGTAACAATGACTAAAAAAATTATACTGGTGAAACCTGTTAGTCATCCTTGTCTTTCATACTCATGGCTGTTTTCTTTATCATTAATCCATTGGTGTGGAGAGTGATAACGTAAATTTAAGAAACACCTGTTTCCGGTATCCTGACCTACAAGACACAGACAGGAAATTGAGTTGATACACTTTCTGTTTACGTGTCCTGACTTTAAACAGATTGACATAGTGCAATGACCGATTTCAGGTCTGGAATTGTTAGGGTCAAATTATCTTCAGACGTTTTGTCTCTATAGATCATATATAGATGTAGATTTCTTTTGTAACTAAATTTCATGCAAACAAGTAGTGTTTTGCATTGATTTTTTGCGCAAGAATGTTAGTGTACACTTCAAAAGGAAATAATGAACGTGCATCACTCACATAGTGTAGTGTCTAGTTCCGCAGTATCCTGCCCCCCTCTCCCCCCNGTTAATAGGTCATTGTGTTAACTTTATATATACACACTCGATTAAACAACCTAGGACTAAGGACTAATCATATACGAAAACATGGATATAGTACGACAGTTCTACCACGTCACTTCTCTATGCAAATCTCAAATCATATCAGCAAAAGCACTGATCCCCCAGGTTCACAGCCCATCGCATGAGTGGATGTGGCTTTTGGATTCCCAGTACAAGGAAAAGATTCCTACCGGACTCTGGTTCTGTTCAACACTGTTCAATGGTATCCTACCGAACCAATCTCCGTATGGTGAAGAGCGCGTCAAGATTCCCATCGAAAATGTGTTCAGCCAACTTGGTGGCAAAGTCAACATATATCAAGGCAAGAATGCATTTGTTAGTGGCAACACTTACGTCAGACTAATGCTTGTTAAGGAGGGAGACAACTTTGCTTGCTTAGAACACATGGAGAAACTTAATTTAAAAGACAATGTCTTTTTAAAGTGTATTTCTGAGTCGCAGTTTCAGGTTCCCAAACGACCAATTTGGGTGGAAACGTTCGTCCCGTATGAAATTGATATTTCGGAAGGTGAATGGGACAAGGTTAACAAGTAAGTAAAAATAACAATCATCATAGGTAAAACATTGTAGAAAACAAAGACTCTGTGCATACACTGTTTCAGGTGAACATCGAAATATAGAAAATACACAAAGCTCATCAAAAATTTTGCGTGCAATTTCGTACCATTCTTTAATATAAGGGACTAAGTGCTGATTTCAGAATATGTTTTTCAACAATGGACGCTTCCTACGTGGTTTGAAAACACATTGTCTGTTCGGGGAACTATAGATATGGGGACTTAATCAAACTATAAAAGATAAGATTTGACTAAAAGATATGTATTCAGCATTATTTAAGTATGAGTATATTTTTATAATCTTGTTTTATATCTAAATAGAATTGTCTTTTAAATTATGGGTATACATAATGACTTATTAAAACAGCAAACGATCTTTAAAGCGTATCCATTTAAAGCAAAGCCAATAAGCAGAGCTTTACTCGTTTATATTCAATTATTGTGAAAGTTTTTTTAATTGTAGTTGATATGAAGCATATACGTGTTAAGAACTCATTTTACTAATTGTATAAGAAGGACTAATGGACAATCTGTATATCTTTCAAAAGTTTTTAGATCAGAGGTTGTATCTTAAAATATTCTCTCGCCCAAAGTCTAATTTCAATATGTAAGAAAATATCGGTTAAGATATTTATTAAGTAAATTGACTACATAGTTAGAACAAATAAGTATGTTAAAATGATAAATGAGTATATTAAAATGATAAATGAGTATATTAAAATGATAAATGAGTATATGAGTCTAATCAAATGAGTATATTCAAAAGGTAATTTTAAACTATCTAGGTATAATGGAAAGATACATTGTTCGGAAGGAGACACAATGAAAAATGTTTTAATCGTTGTAAATAAATTATTATTTCCACATCGAAATGAATTAGATATATCAAAATGTTTTCTGGGCAAGGATCGTTCGAAAATTGACTATCTTAATGATTTCTATATTACAGGTTACTGTCGATGTAAAGGCTAAATGACGGGGAGAAAAAACTTCCACTACAAATTATGATACATTATCATATCAGGAACTACTCTTAATTAGTATCATCAGATGACCGTTCAAGCTACCTCTATGACGTATTGCAGTGTTAAAGACGCCACATGCAATGCCTTAACTGATCCAAACCATGTGATTAAACCAAAAAGTTAATGTTTGATTCCATAGTGGTTCGCCGGCTTTTGTCAATACAGCACCATTTGTTTCGGAAACATTTAACAACTGATCGAATATAGCTGTATCCGCCATGTTTGTATGTTATATCCATATATTCTTCAATTAAAATACTCAAATGTATTGGTCTTGTGTTTTGTGTGAGTTACTCTGAATGAAATAGTCTCCGATAACTTCCCGACATATTACAGGTACTGATGATGATGGCGAGTACCAGTATTGGTCAATGTATTACATGTTCATAACGTGTTCTTTGATAAGCTATAACCAACAGTATCTAAATTGAAAAAAAAACAAAAAAACATCCATGGTATTCCCTAAACCATGTAAAACTAGGTCAAATCAAAGTAATATCATGTCATCATAACGAGGACGTGGGGTAACAACAACAAGGCACGTTAATGAACACAATAAAAATGTCTCTATTGGCTTTAATCATCATCTTTGATCACCCAATAAGCTCGTAGTTTCCTCGAATTTAAACTAAAACAGTACATATACAATCGATTTCAGTTCTCAGTTACAATACAATTGTAATATGAACAACAGAATGTTAAAAAGGTGTTGGTACCAGTGTACAGTAGCGTACGGTAACCATTTGTGATATTTTTGTTCAATGAATAACCCCTGTAATATCATATGTATCAAAATGTAAAAACAAAATTTTAAATTGCATACCCATGATGAAGTGGGCTATGTGGGCTTCATAATTTTTCAAGAAAAAAAGTTACATTTGGTTTGAGACTAAAGTTTTGACAATTTTCAACTCTGTGTCTACACAACAAAGGCTAGCTTTTCAATAAGTCGATTTTTGCACAAATCCACTGGAATTAGCTAAACCGCGCATATTTCTGTTACAGAGTATGTGATATTTACTTTAAGACAGGTTTCAATAAATATAGTCCAATTTGCGAGAATCAAAATTTGTGTTAAAAATCGTTGTGTTTCTTTTTTTGCTTTTTTGTATGTGGTTACCGTGGTTCTCAAGTTCTAGATCTCGGGAAACTTGTCTGGAAACAATTCTTTTTCTAAAAGATGTATTTTATGAATCCACATTCAATGTGTATCAGAGACATGCCCTTCATATTTAGGATCATGCCAGTTCTATTGTACATTGCTACCTTATATTAATATAAAGTTCTATAATCTATTAGAGGTCAATAAATATATAACAAACGATTGTTTTGTGAATTGTCCTCCATAAATTACTTCTGCAGTTGAAAGTTAAATAATTGTTCTCTTGTTTCCCAATACATGACCACATGTGATGACGTGTTTCAGGTCAAATGACCATTGCACAAAATCCTACTGTAAGGATAAATTAATTTGCTATTAGTTTTGCCAAACAATTATTACCACGAAAATCATTGTGGATATAACAAATGAAAATAAAATCGACCTTTTCTGTAAGGACCAAGCCCTTTGTAAACAGATAGAGAAATGAATCGCATTACGTTCAGTGAAATGACGCCTCCAAGCTGTCATTACATGACAAAAATATTCATGGACATCGTGATTTGACTTTAGCTGTGTGGACCTGTGTGACCTTGCAAAGAAGTAAACTTATTGTACTGATACTGTCCATATGAACCTGATTTATATCAATACTAACGAGGATTGCTCTGAAGATCATGACATTAGTGAGAGATGATGAACGCTGACAGACAACCTTCCTAACACATTGTTCCAAGCTGAACAGGCGGGCTGTGTGAGTATGTATCTAAATGTATGTTTATTACACAGATTCTCGCTTAACAACTTTTTTTTATATCCTGGACCAGGTAAAATGTTAGCTCCTATTTGCATTCTATACTTAAGTTCTGAACATAATACTCATGAAACGTCGTTTGAAAAGGCCATTGTGAATTTGATAGGAATACAAATTGTGTGTTGTAAGTCAAGGTGTGCCTCACAGAAGAAAAGTAGTCACTACAGTACTGCCATGCTAGCATTTAGTGTTCAATATTAGCTGTTGTTGTTGTTAAGATCCAGTAGGTTATGACAAGGTCCAGCAGTTCACGAGACACAGCCGATGAGGAACTCATGTTATGTTAAGATGGCTAGAAATTGTATAATAGTTAGGAAGGTGGCATACTGGCGATCTCGTTGTTGCTACAATCCGAACTCCATTTGCTCCATAGGAACTTTGTTATGTAACGTCTGTGTAAGCAATTAAATGTATATGGATCACATTTAGTGTCATATACATAGATATAGCAAGTTAAATTATACGTAACAATCCCTTTAGACCAGAAATAGCTAAGGCGATATATCATCGTGTTATTTCAAGAAATCAAATTAGTTATAGCGTATCATCAAAACCAAATACATTGAAATGATTAATATAACTCCTTTTATGATTATGAGCAAAATGATTAACAAATTACCTGAAATTGATTTGCAAATGCATATATTTTCAACATGAGTAAATTATTTTGGTATAAAATTTTAAGTAGTTGTTAAATTATGCATGAGAAATCTTTTAGATATAATGCTTCAATTCCCTATCCTTGCAGTACTATAAATATTGCGCTGGTAAACACACAAAGAATAACAATCATGGTGATAAGAATAATAAGACTAGTTTACCTTAGTTGTCGGTTAACTCGGACTCACAGGAGAATCGACCTTTCGTATATATTCATGCCCTTATTAAATCTGGTATGACTAACCTATCCAACAGTCTGGAGACTTGGGTTTGAGATTATGATTTTTTTTATAAGATATATTTTGTTTTATAATATATGATATATATTTTTCAAATGCATAATGACACTTCTCGGTCATCAGGGTATTTGCCTCTTTTCCATTCGATGTATGGCGACTAACAGTCTATAATTCAGATCAAATTGACACTTAATCCTCTTGGTTGAATCGAAAATAATTACTGAATGTAAGGACGCTCAAATAACTAGTATACAGTGACAATTGATTAGCTTGAACTCGTCTGAGTCGAGCATTCTTTCATTAAGCCATGTTCTGCATACTTATAGCTGTCTTACTAATTATTGATACATTGTATGTATTACGTAAACGTTGTCATAAGACATTCCTGAACCCGGTATCCAGACCTACAAGGACTGAGGTCACAATTAAATGCTTCCGGGTTCAGTACCCACGAATGAAGTCCCTTAGGAATATAGGTACTTTAGTAAAAACTATACTATGCCTCTTAGAACTTGGTGTTTGCGTAAAAGTTTGGTGTTAAAATACTGTGGAGATATCAATCTAACAATTTCTGTGTCATATTTTTATATTGTGCCTTAATTTTTTGTGCAGGGTGCTGTGTGAAAAGTCCTGTGTTTACCTCTACTCCTGACCCGGAAGTTTCAAGTTTATTTCTGACATTGGTGACACATGCAGACGATTATCTCAAGATAAAGGCCAACATGCTATGTTGAAATTTTTATATTTTACTCCCAAGATGTTGCTCTTGACCAGGTTAGATGGAAAATTGACTATCGGATATTGGGAATTTGTTATGAAATTAAATGTTACAATGAAACATATAGTAAAATTAAATGTGGTCTTAGTACTACAGACAGGATGGTGACACACTACATGTTTACCTCCCCTGACTCGAAAAAGACGAAGATATTGTCATGATCGATCTCAATCTCTACCCAGAGTTGCCGTTCCTTACACTCACCTAGAGTGTGAGTAGGGGCAGTGTAAGTGAGTGTAAGGAACGACAACTCTTGATAGAGATTTGATACATCTTCTATCTAAGTAAAATCTCGATGCACATTGAAATGAAGACAAAAAAATAAATAAAGTACATGTACTCAAACCTACAGCGTTAACTTATATTGTTTTAGCTGCTTGTAAAAATGACTACATTTGACATGTGATGGCGTTCTCGCTTTCGTAAACTTTTTGTACGAACAGAACAGATTTGTTCCAATATTGAGTTGATTAAATAGCCATTCCAGCTAGCTAAAGCCACATTCACTTAGTATGGGAAATGATGGTTAACGCAATCGAAAATACTCTGTTGATTATATTATCGCTATTATACATTTATGTTTATTACTACTCCACACTGTAATGTTTCACTGTCGGTCAATCGAAATCAGCAATACAGTAATGCAGTGCTAAAAAATACACTGATAGTAACATAAAACATGATGACGAGTTTTTTATACCTATTTTGAGGTATCGTCTCAGCCTTGTTTGTGTTTTCCTGCCTCCATCGGTTGTACCTCTTTACTTCCTGTTGTTACATGTATGTTCATTTGAAACACGGTTGTCTCTTACTTACTTCATTGCCATACGCAGGTGACCTTTCAACCATCACTCAGGTGAAGATGGCTTTTAGGATTAAATAATATTTCAAGTAGATCCGCTGTTTTATTCGTTTACCAGTATTTATATGATTATGGATGTAATATATGCAGAACATGTTTTGTTTCAAACTCTAAAATGGTGTTAATAAAACATAATGCATCTAAATTGACTATGTTATGCGATTTAAGTTTGCAAAACAAGTTGGTACTCAAACTTTGTTCATAGAAATAATTTTTCTAAACTAACAATAATATACGATATAGGATTGCAAATCACGTTTAGTATCGATCTCGGATAATTTGTCAATAACAATGTTCCAAAATTGACAATCACATTTTGCAAAACATTTTATATAGTTTCTTTCACTAACATGTTAATTTCATTCCGAAAAGAAGTGATACGAATGGAATTCGTACGAGCATGTCTTTCGACAAAACTTGTTCTCAATAAATCATCATTAAACGCACTATCATTATGTGTGTGCTCAGAATGTAATAATGCAAAAAGTGTTTAATGAATGTGTATCCCTTACATAGTTAAGTATATAGTTCCGTATTAGTCTACCCTTTAGATAAATTGTTGAAACGATTTTGGATCGATTATTTAAACTGCATGTTCGTGTACAAAGCGTCATTGTGATGTATTTTGTCCATACATACTTGGCTAGCCTGACCGGTTTCAGAGTAATCTTGCTAATTCGACGAACATGGAAAAAGTACGATTTTTGTACCACGTCACTTCTCCTGTGTGCAAGTCTTCAATCCAAAAAGCTAGCAAACTTCTTCCCAAGATCCACAACCCAAAGTCTAAGTGGATGTGGCTTTTGGATCCCAAGTACCAGGACATGATTCCAAAGGGGGTCTGGTTCTGCTCCACACTCTACAAAGGGGACCTGCCAACCATCTCCCCGTATGATAAAGAGCGCGTCAGGATACCAATTGAAATGGTGTTGGGCAAACTTGGCGGCAAAATCAAGATTTATCTTGGCCAGGAAGCGAATGTTAAAGATAACAGATATATCCGAACCATATCTCTGCATACACATTTCTCAGCTGAAAAATTAATTCAAAAAAACAAACACAGTTGATTTTATTTTTAGATGAATGTCTTTATTTCCTTATTTTTTATTTATTCTAAAAGGTAGCATGGTGTATCTAAGTGTTTATGATTACATTATTAAATCGTCTGCATACCAATAGAAAGTCTGTATTAAGTCAGATGGTTTTTAATCAAAAATTGTACAGTTGAACCTCGTCATCTCGAGGTCGGCGAGATCATGAAACACTTAAAGCTACTGAGTATTAGAGATAAGGGAGTTTCCTTGCTTGGTTTAATCTATATTCACTTGGCAAACGTCCAATTTTAACACGTTCATAGATTCATGTTAATATCTGCTTTTGAGTGCAAAATGCTTGACATCAAAGAAGTAAGCAAAATTTTCCTTTATCACCTAAAGCTGACTTCCGTTCAATTAGTGGCTTCTATTTGCAAATTGAATCACAAAAGCATTGATAAAAACAGATAAAACAAAAATAGATAAAAAAAATCTGTTTATAGAACTAATCAAATGAAAAGTTGTAATAAATTAAAACTAAATTACGCAAAAAATTGTTCCATCGTATAAAGTCAGTTATGTTAATACCCCTAAACGATATAGAATTGCCAATTTAAGTTTATAAGTAGATCAATAAATACTATTAATACTTTGCTTAACTCATTGATAAGTCTCGCGTTTAAACCTTTGCAGTTTTAACCTATGTGAACCCCACTGATTTTGTTTCTATCTATATCAATAAGTAAATTGAAAGCCGAGTTTATCAAAATAGCATTACCTTCGGGGAAAATCACACGAAACGTAAGGAGCAAAAATTTAAATAATTTAAATCGATGTAATTAAAGAATGTTTACCTCATTCAATAATATTATATCTCCAAATGTTTTCTAAACAACGGTTGTTTGAAATTGATTGTCATATTTTTTTTAACAATCTAGATTACAAATGACGTCGGACACCATGTATCACTGGAATATTAATCTTGACCCAATGGGTTCGAGTCAGCGGGATTTTACTTTATGCATTTTGACAGAAGATGAATACAAAAAGCAAATTACAAATATGAGTAGCCTCTTGTATGAATTTGCTTTGTTTACATTTTGAATTGTCCTTACTGACAGAATGGTGTTTATTAGAAGTAACTACCCTTGTGGTCAATTTATCAACTAATGATTGATTTATTATTAAATTAACTACTACTGCTTCTTCTACCTGTGTTCACATGTTGCAGTTGATTCGGTATGCAAGTGCTTGCTCCGAATATCACGACTTCCATAAAAGATATCGACTGCTGATGGTCAAACGTATCACACAGGTTTTCTAAAGATGCAGGTTAATGAAGCCTATGGTCAAGCTGTATGGTCATCATCGTGATATCATAGGGAAACATGTTATTTCTTTGTATAATATGAAAGTTAAGATAATGCTTATAAGTGTGCCTTGTGGATGTGTTATCACTACCCGAATTTTTCGATACGAGGACGAGACATAACTTGATTTCGACTAAGAATTAAATGGCGGGTGTCATCGATGAAACAGGATACGCTTACCCTTCTCGAACATTTTAAGTAATGGTCAAACAAAACTCGCAGAACATACAGATTATGACAGTTGCATAGGACATAATGACGGGTGTTCACACTTATGTTAGAAGGACGAAACGGCTGTATGGTGCATTGCAATTCGGTTTTGGAATACGGTATGAATTACCTTCTGTAGCCGTGCTCACACGTGTGTGTCTAACGTTTATCTGCCTATCGGTGATGTCTTCCTTGTTGTATAGTCATGACAATCATGGACATTTTGTTCTCTTGCCAACTTTATTGACATACACTGGCGACTACACATTTTAAACAGCACTCAGAATACAAGAAGTGATCTTAAAAATATGTCGAATTCTATAGACGGCTTAGCATAAAAACTACACAGACATGCCACAACATTGTCATGTAATGGCGAAAGGGGTGTGTGGAGTGTGACGTTTTAGACTTAAACGAATCATTTACAAAGTATTAATATAGTTTTTTATCTAAATATCAAAAACATCTAGGGCTCAAAATTATGTTAATAAGCATAATGCTTCTAAATTGACTATACTAAACGATATCAGTTCGCAAATCATGATTGGTCTCAACTCGTATAATTTTACTAATGAAAAACGCTTCCAAATTAACAAGTCTATTGGAATGTTTTTAAATCTTAGTTTGCAAAACAAATTATTCTTTTTTATAATTATAATTTTGTAACATGTATTTTATTAAAAAAGTAGTGAAATGTATTTATTTTCGCACAAAAATGTATGTCCTTAGCTCTCAATAAGTCATGCATTGACACATTTCAATTATGTGTTAATTTTGTAGGTTTTAATGTACAATTGTATACTTAAAAAGGATATAATGAACGTGTATAACTTCGGTATATAAGTATTTAGTTCCGCTATATCCTACCCTTCAGATGATATAAAATTGCATGTTCGTGTCCGATTCGTCATTGTGTTCTCTTTTAGTCATACATACTTGATTAGCCTGATCGACTTTAAAGTGAACTGTTTTAACGACGAACATGGACAAAGTACAAAAGTTTTACCATGTCACTTTACCTTTCTTTAAAACTAAAATTACTAATGGGCACAAATTGATCCCCCAGATCCACAACCCATCACAAGAGTGGATGTGGCTTTTGGATTCCAAATACAAGAATAAGATTCCGAAATTAGTTTGGTTCTGTGCAACGCTTTACAACGGTGACCTGCCAAACATCTCTCCGTATGGTAAGGAGCGCGTCAGGCTGCCCATTGATAAGCTTTTGAGACAACTTGGTGGCAAAGTCAACGTTTATCGTGGAAAGGATGCACAGGTCAACACCAACAAGTACATCCGACTGATGCTTGTCAAGGAAGGTGACTACTTTGATTGCTTAGAACATATGGAAAAACTGAATTTCGAAGACAATGACTTGTTGAAGTTCATTTCTGATTCTGAGTTTGAGGTTGCTAAACGACCAAATTGGGTGGAAATAGCTTGCCCCTATGAAGTTGATGTTACAGAAGGTGAATGGGATACCCTTAACAAGTAAGTAATTATGTGTCAAACATTTAAATAAAAACATTCTAGAAATCAAATTGTGTGTGCATACAGACTTTTTGGTTCAATATAGAAATTTAGAAAGTAAACATAGTCCTAAAGTGGTGAAGATGTGCGCATTCAAAATTGCAAGCTGAGGAGAAAGAGCTTCAGCAAGGAAAAGGTCGCTACTGCATCAGTTATAGTTGCTCAGGGAGTAGACTAGGGTTTTTTTACTGAAAAAAAGTAACGAATTGATCTTTCTCGAATTTCATATGAATGTTCCCTTGATTTTGAGAGCTCAAGTTTGTTATTACCTTTCTCAAATTTCATATATAATTTCCCCATGGACAATAGTTTTCCATGTTCCATTCTGGGATTTATCGAAGAAACACGATTGCAACCAGGCAGTCATCTTTGATTTGGACAGTTCAAGTTTGCTTTGCTATTTATGAAGTACTTTAAAGTTGAGCATGTTTCGTTGAGACTGCTAAATGAAAAAAGATAACCACCAAGCAGCCATTGAATGTTGACAATTCAAGTGTGTTATCATTATTTATCAATATAGACTGGACAGATCTTTCTTATATGTAGGTTTCCCTCAGGCTATAGTTATTTTTAACATAAACGTTACATATCGTTCTCAAATTTAACTTAGATAAAAAGAATGCGTATCAGTTAATTTCAGTTTGAAACTATTGTTCATTTCACTGAATGTTTGTGCATAAATGAATAAATGGAATAAAGTGACTTGACCACCGTCTGTGAAAAAACACTTTACAAAAATCTATCTACGACTAATATACCTTAGGAAAAACACATTTCCTGGAATAGGTTTTTATCTTTGTGAATAAAATAATGTTTCCGTTTTCAATTAAAGTAATATCATCCAAGGATTTTTCGAATATGTTCGATTGAAAATTGATTGTCTTCATTATCTTAATATTATAGGTAACACAACAGAGCAAGGTGAATGTCGTAATGGATATTTCTAAGTGGATGACGTCTTCTTGAGGAGTAAGACCAGTGGATAACGACTACATGAAAAACAAAGGACATACGCTATTGAATTTATTATCATACATACATAAACTGCCTTTTAAACTTTCTATCATCTGACTTTCGCGACATTAGCACAGCTCGAACTACTCTTCTGTCTCACCTGATCGACATATGACAATGTCGAAAATACCTCGGTTTCGTACAATGTACATGCATTCTTGGGAATTTCATTATGGACCCCATGAGTTGGAGTTATCTGGGCTGTATTCATTTCAAATGACATTAACGATTGAAATATAAGCATAGTCTCTTGTATAGGTTACTATTCAGCTTACATCCCGTAGTGACCTTTCGGGCGGCAGATTATTGCATATTTACTAGTTAACAATGAGTGACTGCCGTGAACTGAAATCACGTGATCTCTCATGCTAACTTCATGACATCTTGCATTGTTTATGATATATCGTCACATGCAACGTTTCAACGGGTTTGTGCCATGTGGTATAATCGAATCTAAAGGATTCCTTTGTAGTTACCGGCTTATGTTTTCGAATATTACAAAAAAATAGTCGTACTATAATAAACCTACTTGAAAACAATACGTTAAACAGTAACACATTGTAACCGCTTTCTTTCTTAGTTATACTCATATCTTGTTCAATTAAAATACGCAAACTGCATTGGTCTTGTGTTTTGTGTGAGTCATTCTAAATCACAACCTTCTATTATTTCGTGTTATTCCAAAATGACCGAGTACTTTGGGACAGTCTTCGATATCATCTAAAACATCTTAGGTATTAATGAACCTTTTAATTGAGTATCTGTAGAAGTGCTTAATGCACTATTATGATTAGCTGCTATTTATTGAGGATATTTTATGTGACTACCTTTTAATAACAGTAGTTTGTAAATGCTAAACCTTAGTCTTTGATATTAGCTTCACTGACTTTTATTATCAATTGTCTAACGTTAATGAAAAAAGTGACTTATTTAAATCAATATGCTAACTGATAAAAACGAATTACATTATGGAATTATACATATGGGCGTAATAATACTAGCTTTATTCACAATCCATGACTTGACAAATGATAGAAATAAGCGGGGGTCACATTGGAGAAGAAGACGAAAACCCTTCCGGTGAAATACGTGTATTCACTTCCGGTTTTGTTTGCTGGATGGTACTTTGTCCAAGTGTTACTTCAGTTCCTGTTGCCATTTCGTTTTGACTTTAATTTAGAATGTTTACTGTATTAAAAAACATTTCAGATCGGTTTAGTATTCATCGTTTCATTGACTTATACAATGCAGACTAAACGCCTGCAAGTTTTAGGATTGGTTCACAATTTTTTTTTTTTAAATAATATGATTGCACCGTTTGGTTTGTACACCTAAAACTGACATCAGACTATACACGTACGTTAAAACCTTTCGTTATATATTAAAATATCATTTCTTACTAAATCTTATGCATTTTATCTCTTGAAACGACCACGTGGTATGTAGCTGTCCAAAGAATAAAAGTGATGTCACATATTTATGCGATATTCCATTCGATGTTTCTGTAGGCGATGTAATAAACACAAATGCTATCGAATCTTGAATGAGTAAGGTTGTGAACAACGATTTACATGATTTTAACACAGTAAATCACAATCAAAGGAGTGATATCTTTTTGTTGCAATTATTAATTTCGCTAATACCGTTTCGTCTCTTTAGATGTTTCTTTCAATGTGATAAGTACATAGCTATTTCAGACGGTCTTATAACGCCAAATATAAAAAATCTGCTGTTACTCTTTGTAAAGATATTTCTTGTTTATTTTATTTAACCCAATGTTCAAGCTGAAATGAGTTCACAATAGAACGCTATCTTTCAACACTGATATTTCTTTCTGTAGTATTTGAATTTGTCATATTGCAATAAAAAACGAGACAAGAGAATACCCAAGTGTCGACAATACAGTATTTTAAACTAAAACTCGATAGCATAGGCAAAATATGAACAAAGGAGGGCTTTACAGTGTAAACGACTCTGTACAAGACTGGGTTTCAAACTAATTAACACAATGTTAAAGGAAAAATTGATTACCAAAGTTTATGTAAATGAATAACTAGACATAAAAGTGAGTCATAGGAATAAATTGCAAACGCTGTAGGGGTGACTTCCCCTCGTCAGTATTTTTGTCTGTCTCAAAGCCTTTATGGTGACAATTTTCCGTGAATTCCCAGGATTCAGATGCTGTACCCGTACGTGAGATTTCAGTGTGGTGTGAATCAGGTTATGGCGGAGGTGTGGCAACAATAACCTGTATTTAATGTTAGGATATACCTCTTTAACATATAGTGATGTATTTAATGCTAGGATATATATCTTTAACATAAAGTGCTGTATTTAATGCTAAAATATACCTTTTTAACATTAAGTGCTGTATTTAATGCTAGAATAAACCTCTTTAACATATAGTGATGTATTTAATGCTAGGATAAACCTCTTTAACATAAAGTGCTGTATTTAATGCTAGGATATACCTCTTTAACATATAGTGCTGTATTTAATGCTAGGATATACCTCTTTAACATAAAGTGCTGTATTTAATGCTCGGGTATACCTCTTTAATATATAGTGCTGTACTTAATGCTAGGATAAACCTCTTAACATATAGTGCTGTATTTAATGCTAGGATATACCTCTTAACATATAGTGCTGTATTTAATGCTCGGGTATACCTCTTTAACATATAGTGCTGTACTTAATGCTAGGATATACCTCTTTAACATGTAGTGCTGTACTTAATGCTAGGATAAACCTCTTAACATATAGTGCTGTATTTAATGCTAGGATATACCTCTTAACATGTAGTGCTGTATTTAATGCTAGGATATACCTCTTTAACATACAGTGCTGTACTTAATGCTAGGATATACCTCTTTAACATATAGTGCTGTAATTTTGAAGCCTTGATGTATTATTAATGATGCGCAAGTAAACAATACCAAGATAACATAGAGAAAGAAAACCCAAACATACTTGATAAGGGTACTGAAGATAACAATAACGATTCATTGTTATTTTCATTTCACTAATACATTATTAGTGGGTAGAATCATATGCTTGATTTTGTATTGGAAATTTGTAATTTTGTTTCCGTCATACAGTTAATTGTATCTTGCCATCATCTCAAAAACAGATTTCAATTTTCCTTGGCTATATTTAGAATTTATCATGACACGTTCAACAAACTTTCAATACATAAATCCTGTTTGCTTAACATGACCCAAAGAATATCCTCCTTTCACTTCGTATTTAAACTTAATTATTTTCTATTTTGTTCCTATACAGCATACGCTTGCTTTCACTTTTTATCAACCTTACTCTCCAATGAAGATGTTTTAATACTATTCCTCTTAATATGATCTTTTCTTTTCTGAAATGTGAACACATAATGTTTATAAATTCCACATACTTGTCTCACACACTCTGATTAGTCTAAAATATCGAAATACGTTTGAAATTAATTGTCGTTTAATATAAATAACGATTATTAAAACAATATATATAATAGCACTCAGAAAGCCAAATAAGCCAATCACTGTGCCATATGGTTGTTTTATCAATTAGGGAATCATCACCGGTACTAACTGATTCTCCTTATGAAAATTACTGCAGATAAAGACCATCGAATAGCTATACATTTGGTTGTTCAGTCACATATTGCTATTGGCGTACTTCCAACTGCCCTAGCATGCACAAACTTGTTTGTAAGCTGTAAGCGCATTTAATCTGATAAATTAGAAATTAAATTTAATTAATTAATTCTGGCAAAACACTGTAGCTATGTAGTTACCTTGCATTTAAATCAAAACATGTATCCTGATTGAAAGCATTTTGCTCGGTCATCGGCAAACATTTTGTAAATGAGTCTCTTCCAAACTATTCATACATATCCTGTACAATTCCTGTTTGCGGTATATATCTCCTTTACTCAAAGTGCTGGTAAAGAGTACATATTACGTATGAAATAAACACTGTGTATGCAACTAACAACACATGTCAATAAAACTAACGCTTCTAAATTGACAATTATATACGATCATATTGTGCAAATGATGTTTATTCTCGACCGGGAAAATTACTTATAAAAATAATTGTTCCAAATTAACTTCAATTTGCATTATAAGTTTCTGCTCGACCACGAATAAAGATAAATCTTCAAAATTGACTTCAAGGTACCATCCATTTTTTGCAGAACATGGTTGTCCCCGAACTCGAATGAAATAATTCTTCCAAATTGACTTAAATTCGATTATGTTTTGCAAAAAACATCATATACTTCTGTTTGATCTAGACTAAATTGATAGAATGAATTTTCGCACAAGCACGTTTTCGGCAAATTGGTTATCAATAAATTATTTGTAATCGCTATAATCGTGTGTTAAATTTGCATATAATAATGTATACTTAAAAAGGATATACTGAATATTTTAACTAGTTTCGTAATATTCTGTCCTTCCGATAAGTTGCAGATGTTTGTGTACCATTCGTCATTGTGTTGATTTTTATTCATACATACCTGATCAGTCTGTCCGGTTGAAGACGAACATGGATAAAGTATGAATTTTCTACCACCTCATTTTTTCTCCCTGTAAACCTAAAATAAAAGATGAACGGAAACTGATCCCTCAGATCTACAATCCCCTCGGATGAGTGGATGTTGTTTTTGCAGCCCGAGCACAAGGAAGCGATTCCTAAGGGGGTCTGGTTCTGTTCAACACTCTACAACGATGACCTGCCAACCGTCTCTCCGTACGGTACAGAACGGGTCAGGATACCCATTGGAAATGTTTTGGGCAAACTTGGAAATTTCAGCATATACTGTGGAAAGGATGCCAAGGTCAGCAACAACTCGTATTTCCGATTCATGATAGTACGGGAGGGAGACTACTTTAAATATCTGGAGCACATAAAAAAAGCTTGATCTTTCCAACAATAACATTTTGAAATATATTCATGGTGAGGGGTTTCATATCCCGTCGTGTCGGTGGCTCAGTGGAGACAGGTTACGCCATGCAGAATTAAAATTACTTCAAGTTTAGGACGACAAAATGGAAAATAGAAATGTATTATGATCGAAGTCAAAACATCATGTCTGGCATCGTGTCCTGGTATGTATTTCACATTTACATAGTCCAATATTTTTGATACAGTAACTCTTTAGCGTAAAATGTGAAATACATACCAGGACACGATGCCAGACATGACGTTTTAAACATTGCGCCAAAACATATGCTGCGGGACTAGACTCTACTCGTATTGAACGAATGATTACACAATTAATCATGATGGATTACTTAATTACAATTCAAACCGAAGCTATCGCCGCAGATCCCTGGAAAAAAATAACAAAAGTAAGTGTTGAAAATCTTCATTTGAAATTTGGCGGTACCGGTAGTGCTCTG